TGCCCAACAGCTTTTGAACGGTTTGAGCTTGCTGAACAAAGCGCGACTCATTCATTGCGATTTGAAGCCGGAAAACATTTTACTCAAGAACCTCGAAAGTCCCATCATCAAGATCATCGATTTTGGATCAGCCTGTGATGAACGTCAAACAGTATACACATACATCCAGTCAAGGTTTTACAGATCCCCCGAGGTATTACTTGGTTTACCATATTCATCAGCTATCGATATGTGGTCGTTAGGCTGTATTGTTGTTGAATTGTTTTTGGGTCTCCCTCTGTTTCCAGGATCCTCTGAATACAACCAAGTTTCCCGAATAGTGGAGATGTTGGGCAACCCACCAAACTGGATGCTTGAGATGGGAAAGCAATCTGGTGACTTCTTCGAGAAGAGGCACGATGTAGATGATTATGGCAGAAGAACATACCATCTCAAATCTATGGAGCAGTATTCTCGCGAGCATGGATCAAAGGAGCAACCAAGTAAAAAATACTTCCAAGCTACCACCCTTCCGGAGATCATTCGTTCTTATGCGATGCCACGGAAGAATATGAAGCCAAACGAAATAGAGCGAGGTAAGATTAAGCCCTGTACTTCTTGTGAGCCTTTGACTAACAACTATGTCGTAGAAATGAACAACAGAGTTGCTTTCATCGATTTCGTTCGTGGTTTACTCAACATCAATCCTTTGGAGCGCTGGTCTCCACAACAGGCCAAGCTACATCCATTCATCACCCAACAAAAGTTCACCGGTCCATTCGTTCCACCAATGAATCTCAAGTCAAGTGCTATAAATAGATCTCCTGCTCCCGGAACGACACAGCAGCAGCAGGCTGAAGCATTGAGTAAGCAGCGAGCCCAGGCAGCTCAAGCTCAAGCTCATTCACAGGCTCAGTCTGCAGCTCATGCTTCATACAATGCCGGTGTCCCGGTTAATTCATATGGCCAAGTGCCACCAAACCAACAGCACCCGCCGATGTACAACAATAACAATATGTACACTCCAAACTCCAATCATCAGGCTCCTCACCAAGCTCCTCATCAAGCTCACCAGGCTCCTCACCAGGCACCTCACCAAGCCGCCCCACCTCCATACCCCACACAACAAGGGTACAATCAAATGGGAATGATGGGGCAACCACCAACACAGATGCCACCAGCGCAATATGGAGCCGGTCCTTCACAGCAACAGCCAAGTCTCTATCAGCAGGCTACTGTGAGGTCTGGAAGGCAGCGTGCTTCGACAATGGAAGTTCAACAGGGAGGTATTCCTGTGACGATACAAAGAGTAGCTAGCCATCTTGACCCTAGTCAACCCATTCGTTTACAACCAAGTCCTGCGTATTATCCACCTCCACCTGATGGAGTCCCTGATGGGAACCCTGGTAGTGCGCGAAGAAGGGGGAGTAGAGCTGCTCAGGGTGGACAAGCACCTACCAGAAATCGAGATTTTATTCGAAATCTAGAAGATCGAACATTGGAGGAGGGATTTATGGGGCAGAGCCAATGGCACTGAGCTCCACGACCTTAAATTTGTAGGACGAGTAGAATGATCGAGGACCAGCGACAGCGAATCACGCTAAACTTATAATCTAGAAATGCCAACTGCAGCTTGGAAGCTAGTGTTCATATTATTCTTCGCGCATTATATGATAGGCGTGTGTTGTCATAGGGATCGGAAAAAATTTGAATCATGATACCCAACGGCGGGGCTTTTCTACGAATATCACTCTAGGGCAGAGACTATAGGTTTCTACGTAGTGATGAGTTCTGCAACGAGATGGGAAGGGCATAATTGGAATGAAGGGATGAAATTATAGGGAAATGAACTAGCGAGGATGCTTTAAAACGTCTTCGAGAATTATTAGGGGAGGGAGAAATGTGCGCGGTCTTTTGCTAGTATGAGAGTTGCACTTCAGAATTCGATTCATGTAAGCTATTAGTTATTGCATGGATGGGTGGATTCAAACAATTAAAGATGAGAGAGAGCTAGGTGAAAATGCAATGGGGAGAATATAAAAGAGCGCAGTACGCCGGGTTTTCTCAGTTTGATGGCTCTAGAAATGTGCTTGTGATGGATGTGATCTCTTCTGGATGTGCTCACGGGTGCTGACGATGAACGACTGGACACTAGTGTGTTTTGGTCTTTGACTAATGGCTGGATTGAATCTACACTCATACTCCCGCAAGATGGGGAGGGTAATTACAACTCAAACTTCAATTCATCAGTCATTTATTAAGCCTTGAACGGTGTCGCTGAAATATGTTCTGATTGAGCTCTAGACACGTGGGTGCCAGTTACGCTGTGTATGTACAAGATATACAAATTCTATCCTTTCACCGACTCCCCTTTAAATCCTCAATCTATCGCTCGACCCAACACCAACATCAAACATCATTGGTGATTTACATGCCCCGAACCCCTCAACCCCAATCCCCAATTTCATACATAACCCATAACCTCCTAATCCACCAATTCCCCCACCAACTTCAAAATTTCCATCTCTCCCACTTCCTTGCGTTCCTCCTCCCACTTTCCATAAGCATCCCACCACCACCCATGCGTTACCCCATCATTTCCTTTGTACCCCGCTACCCCATCTGCACCCACGCGTTTTGACCACGGCTTATCGACTATATAATGCAAGCCCCGCACCTCCTCATCCCGCCACATCTCCGGATGCCAATACCGCCATGTTTTCAGCGCATTCCATTTCCACCCGATGCTCACCCATCGATCGCGCCACCACTCGGTAATGAAATCTTGATCAGGAAACTGATAGCTCGAAATCTCAGTTTGATGCGTCTCAATGAATTTCCACATATCATCCCAGGTTTCTTTGCTGGGCGCAAAAACAAATACTCCCGAATTGAGAAGCGTATGTGTTTGCGGCCCGCTGGATCCAGATGGCACGGGTGGGTTGTGTTCCACGGGGTTGGGGCTGGGGGTTACATAGGCGCAGTTCTCGCGCGTCCAGGACTCCGGAGCCCACGTGTCGTTTTCAAGATTGCACACGCAGACGTGGTTGGCGGCGAGGAGCTTGCCCGCTTCACCGGGGATGGAGGGATTGGTTAGTGCGTGTTTGAAGACGAGTTCGTCCATGGGACCGAAGATCAGGATGTCGGCGTCCAGGAAACAGATTCGTTCGTAGGGGTACGTGTACAGCGAGAAGACTTGCAGTTTGGTCCAGGTGGAGGCGAAGCGGGCGGCGACGCCGGAGTTGGCGCTGAGGTTTAGGAGGGGCGTGGGGTGCAGGATCATATTGGAGCGGAGGGCTTCGCGTTCGAGGCCTGGGAGGTAGTGTTCCGGGAGGTTGGCGTACATGAGGATGAGCGGGAATTGGGAACCGTGTTTTTTGAGAGTATGCGCTAGGAGGATGGCGCCGGGGAGGTAGGAGGGCGAGGTGATGAGGGTGGCGTAGGCGGCGGTGGGGTCGGAGGGAGGCGTGGTGGTAGTGGAGGGGAAGTGTGCGGAGGTGGGGGATGGTGTGGCGGTGCTGGGAGTGGACATTTTGGGGATTGGCTGGATTTAGATAGAAGGGGGGTGTGGATGGGTAGGTAGGTTAATGAAAATTAAATCTACTATTTCTCAAAATCAAAAGTCTTTTGTGTAGCAATACTGAGTAGGTACCGAGAGGTAGGTAGGTAGGTAGGTAGATATCAAAATCAAACGGTACACATGAAGAAATCTCCGTAGGAATCTCAGGAGAAAAAACAAGAAAAGTACTAGAGTGAATTACCTAGGGACTTCTTATACTCGAATTTCGAGAAGGAAAAGTAGGTAAGTAGTCCCTGCCGCGTTTTTCTCATCACCACGCCACAACACTACAGAATACGGCAGGAATAACCTAACGTTCACGTTCATGTTAACGGTGACTGGGAGTTGTTGGTTAAGGTGTGGAGGTAAGGAACTACCTAGGTACTTACTTGTATCTCACTAGTAGGTAGGGGGTAGAGAGGTAGGTAGGTAGGTGAAAAATCTAGACGTCATGGAATTGGATGAAAGACGTAGGGTAGGGTGGGTAGCGAGGTGAATGAATGGATAATTGAATAAATGTCTTTGTATGGGTAGGTAGATAGGTAGATGCTTAGATGATGTGATATGAAAGAAAAGAAAGAAAAGAGGAAATCTTTCTGTTCGGAGGGCTTATCTGCTTTTTGATAGTATACGTTATACCGGTATGTATCTTGATTATATGAGTAGAGAAGATATATATATTGAACAATCCTCACTTCATGACGAGTACCAGTATTACCAAAAATATCAATCCTCGAGTACAGTACAATGAGTATCGCGTAGATACAAATTCCAATTCCAAATAACTGAAAAAAGCCAAGTCCCATTGCCCGCCTCCGTCTTGAAATCGAAGTGGCCAATTCCGGTCTGGATTTCTCTAGGGATTTTTATCTCTTTTATTCTCCTAGACAGGTACTCGTATGTACGAGTATGTATAGCGTAGCACTAAGGCTTTGCGAGCCAGTCATGGTAAGGTTGATCCCTCGGCTAGATCGCCCCTGGATCTTATCTTATCTTGGGTGTGCGTCTGGGTGTGTAGGTAGGTACCTCCACTTCGTATCTAGGTGTGCCACACAAAACCCGCCAAAAATAATAAATTATTGGCATGCAGAATTTCATAGAGGAATATCGTTTTCTGAGGCATTCTTCTGCGATTGGATTTTCATTCAAGTAGGTACTTAACTTATGGACTTTTGCTGGCCGGCTTTTTCTCCGGGTCGCGATGTCTACCTAGGTATCGGATTATCAAAAGCTCGGAGGCTTCGCATTTTTCGGCATTCGAGTGGTCAGCAAGAAATGGTCAGCAATATAATTGGATACAGTGGAATGGTCAGCAATTGGAAATCATAGCTCCCCCTCCACTGCGCATCCTGGGGTAGGGGAAAAATTATCGCGATTCGAAGATTTTCCTCCTCTAGGAAATTTTTTTGTTCTCTGTCTTCATAATGTATAAATCCCTAGATCGCAAAAGTGACAAGTGTAAATGCGTCGTGTGTTTCCTGTTCCTTTTCGCTCCTTGCTCCTCTTTACTACCCTGAGATTGGACGTTGTGGTACCGGTTTCGACTACCATTTCTACGTGTGCTAGTTCGGTCAGATCTTTATCTTTAGGTCCCGTCTCGAGAAATATAAATTGGACGGCGCTTGTGAAGGGAAATTGCATCGCGTGGAATTCTCATAACCGTATACCTATTCCTCAATTTTCGCAAGCTCGAAGCGCAGAGATGTCGACTTCGAATGCGGAAGTAAAAGAGGTGGTTGATAAGGCAGGGGAGCCGGCAAGTAAGCAAGCGGAGATATTGGGAGAGAATGAGGGGAGGGAAGAAGCATTGAAGGAGATTGAAAAGGTAGAGGAGAAAATAGAAAAGAAAGAACAGAAGAAAGAAGAAGCGCTTCCGAAATTAAGCGCTGCAGATTTTAAAGTCTACAATTCCATGGCGGAACGTATGAATTACTTTGTACGTTTACTTCTTCCTCTCTCATTCCATTCAACTCAACTCATTTCTCCACTAACCCACCCTTCAGCACAATCACTTCCGCCAAACATGGACGCTTCTCAAAACCGCCACGACCAATAACCAACGACCGCGCAATCTCTCTCTCCGCCAATTCCTCCAAACCGGACTTTCCTTTCTCTCGCAACTTGAAGCCCACCACGGCATCGAAGAACAGCACATCTTTCCTGTTCTGGCGCGCAAGATGCCGGAATTCGCGAATGGAAAAAATGCAGCTGAGTTGTTGCGACAGCATAGGGAAATTCATAAGGGGATGGATGTTATGCAGGAGTATCTGGAGAAGTGTAGGGATGGAGAGACGGAATTGAGTTTGAAGGTTTTGGGGGAGAAGATGGATGGGTTTGGGGAAGTGTTGTGGAAGCATTTGGATCAGGAGGTGGAGACTTTGGGGGCGGAGAATATGAGGAGGTATTGGTCGAAGGAGGAGATGAGGAGGTTGCCGATGTAAGGGGGGTGGGCAGGTGTAGGGCCTTTTTATATATATATTGAGGGGTCAGGGGTAGGAAGATATAGGGGAATAGACGTTTAGCGAGGCTGAAGAAGCGGAAGCGGGGAGGTAGGTGCTGTTAGGGGTAGTATATTGAAGTCAATAAGAGGGATGAGAGGACATGTGAATTTCTTGAAATTAGCCAGCCTGAAGATTTATATTATACAGAGAAAAGAGAAAAGAAAAGAAAAACATTGAACATTCAATCTTCATAGAATACAAGAGCAGCGTGATTCACACACTCTCCAACAATCAAAATACATTCATCCTACATAATTACCGTAAAATTAAAGACGTACATACATGTACGTAGGTCGCTCAAGCGAATATACGAGAACTCCACAAAGGGGTTGTATTCTCAACTACAAACTATGTTATATCTATACAGTATTATTGTATATCCGATTTCTTCTATATATCTACAGTATCGAATGGAACGATTACGCTTTTCCTTTCGTTATGAGGTTGAATACCGTGATGAGTTATAATTGGAAAGAGAAGTGGATTGTGGTAATTGATATCTTGATGTCTTGATTTCTTGATTTATGTGAATGAAATGTACGGAACTTAGACTCTATGATGTGGTATTTTGGGTCGATGAGTGCGGTTTCTAGAACATGGATTATGGGTGGGATTCGGATGTTGAGATGTTGAGATTCGAAGATGATGAGATGCATAGGTGACGTTGATTTACTAAAGGAAATATGAATAGAGATGAAAATTAAATAGTCTTGAGTGAGTGATGGAACGAATGAACTAGAATAGCATTTGTGGAGATATTATATGTTAGAATAGTAAATATACATCACTTCCAGAACCGAAATACTCGGTAGTAATACAGCAAAATCGAAGATCAGACTATCGAATCTCCGATATAAAGCAGCTTGAGATTAGAATGATAACATATACCTAGGTATATAAGAATCTAGAATGAAGTATCAAATATGTAAGTTTGGATTTGAATGTGTAAGTTACATGTTAACCGAGGTACTAGTATCAGTAGGTGTATAAGATGTTGCGATTCGAGGTTATCACCGTATCTTAAAAATAACCTCTCTATAAGCGAAAATCTATAAAGTTCGAGGACTCTTTAAAAGGACTTTGGTCGACTTATAAATTCATTCCAAACAGAATATTAAATAACATCTGAGGAGTTCAAACCAAATCCAAATCTCGTTTACATTCAAAATCAGGATTATCTGTGTTCGATATATCATTAAAGAGAGATTCAAATTAATCGAGGTCCTTCTAAAGGGTAGGTACTCAATTTCCGCACTTCTTTGGATTATGTAGTAACCCATCGGGTCTGCTTACCGAGATGTAGGATTATACCGCATGATTACATATACTCTAGATAAAGGGCGTTCTTGCAAATCTACAGCTTTTGCGCTGTCAGATATGTACATGTACATATTGTTCAGAAATCTTTACAGACTCACGACAACTCATTCGAGGCTCGAGGATCGAGTGATCCTAGCCCTGCAGAACCCTGAAGTGAGGCGTGCGATATGTATGTATGCACGACAAGGTTGCATTGGGTTGCAACACGTGAGCGAAATTTCAAGAACGAGGCGCCGCTGAGCCTAGGGCATTGCGCCTTCACTTTCCAGGCATGTAAATGAGGCTGGGAGCTGTGTTGTATATCTCTATCAACCCTCCTAGGTTTGTAATAATTTCGGCCCTTCTCCTTTACCTGTTTTTCTATTAAATTGAGATCAATATTGATCATTTTCGTTTCATATTGTTTATAGATTACAAGTACAACTGTACAAGTGTAATGGAGGGTACAATCGAGGTTACAATGCCGTATGTATAGAGGAGTCCTATGATATATTTTCTAATTAGAAAAAGGATGTAATTTCATGTTTACGCGGAGCGAGGACCCTGGACTACCTGGATCACTCCGGTTTCTCGGATTACCTGGATGGATTCTGGACAGACTCTCAACACAGGCCAATTGGAAATGCCCCCCCGGGACAGACCATGGACGGACCAAAGTATTCTGGATTCTTGACACTGGATATAAATCGGCAATGGACCAAAGACCTAGGCGGAGCTGGACTTTCGAGTTAGGACAACCAGAAGCCTCTGGAGGCTATCAAGCTTTCTCATTGTATATTCAAACAAGGTTTGTGTCGTATCATTTCATTTGTGTATCGCTGATACGCCAGCCTATATTCCTGGTACATGTTCCAGAATTCTTTCCTCGTGCGATTGGAAAATTATTCTCTGCTTTAATGTTCGAGATGGCTCCTCTTCAAAGGGTTCTCTAGACGCCCCTCGTCTTAGTGACCAGGGAACTAAAGTTCAGCAAATGCATTCTTTTATTCAATCACATTGGCTGATTGATCATACCTAGACTGAGGGTTCCCGTTCTCGTAGATCCCTCTTTTGGAACTTTCCGAGCGGATTTGACGGTGCGTACTTGAATATTAGCACATTACCATGACAAGAATGCTAATGTAATATCGTTGGGCAGTTCACTCGATTTTTGATGAGCAGCTACAAACACTCGCGGGACTCTAACAAGACGGAACTGTTTCTATTTTTCAGCCTGAAGTTCCCTGGGATCACGAGCAGTATAGCGAGCACTATACCTCGGCGCAGCAGAGTGCTGCGGACCCATCATTTTGGATGCAGCAGCTATATTCTACAGCGTACGGCCTCTCCTCGTGTATCGGTTCCATCGGCCAATGAGCTGTTCCGATCTTGATAGCAAGATATTGACACTGTTTTTGGTGGGATAAATCTCTAACATCTATCAGAACTGATAGCATTCAAGATCCACAACCAGATCTCTCGTCCCTTCCCCGAACAAGCATATCTCAAACAGATAAGCAAGAAACTGCTTCCAAGTAAGCGATGTCATTTTGATCCATGTTAACCAACTACTGAATCCCACGCTGTCAATCTATGGATGAAAATCAACGCGTCCATAAATGTACAACACTGGGCTGCAAAACTCCCTGCTTCAAAAAGCCATTAGATCTTTGACGTCACCAACGGTCTCACGAGGCGCCTCGATTCTTCTGTCACATAAGAACCTGTAAAGCTCACACTAGGGGGTTCAAACGCAAAGATAATCTCACGGAGCATCGAAAACGAGTTCACGAGGCAAATGCACGAGCTTCGGTGGTTGCGTCTCACGACTCGAAACCAGCGCTCGAGCCGAACCAATTGAAGATGAAGAAATGGGAAACGCAATTCCACCTTCGGCTCTAATGGCAATCAAGAATGGCTCTGATGGCAACTTGTCGCCAAAGGAGTTTCTTTTGGTAAAGCTCGCGGAGTTACAAGCCTCGAGGATGAGATTGATAGAGGAAAAAGATGAGGAAATTAGAGCGGTGGAAAAGACACTGTCTTTGATGTGACTTTCGGGATTGATGGTAGTAGAAATGAAGGGGATCGATCTGTGATCTGGATGAGCATTGGGGCCATGGGATCGTGTTAAACATGTTTGGTGGATAGAACTTGGGTTCTTATCTTCAGGAAACTATTTCATTGGAAGCGCTAGCTACGAAAATTTGGCGGAAATGATGTTCAGTTCAAGGACACGATGATTCAAGTATCGACTGCAATATGGAAACCGGTGCAGTATTTACACGATGACTCATTTCGGTGCCAACCCCTTTTGGTTCTTTATCCTAAGATATGTAACGGATCTCAATCTTCACAAATTTCTCCTTCTCTGAAACTCAGCCCCCCAGGGAACACTACATTCGAATATTCAAGTCCGGATGAAGCACTGAAGTCCTATGACTGAGATTTGAGTTGGCCTAACAAGATGCTGAAGACTCGCATGTTATGTCTTTATGATCCTTTATTTCACTTGAACTTAAAGACAATAGTCCCTCTGCTCTCTTGATCATTATGTAGCCACTAAGCAAACCAGGCTTAAAACGGACCATGAAAATCATATTCATAATCGACATAAATCCCGATATACAGAGTGCCACGTCTTAACTTCATAATGTGTTTTACCTGATATACAGTGTCCTTATACACTTTCCCATGCACCCAATGCATATTATACACACTCTATTTCCGATTCAATAGTGCTCTTCTCCTCCCTTTCCAATCATCATATATCCATTTCCTCTACAGGTCCTCAAATCTTAGCCTCTTCAGCCTTCTTCTTCGTCCATCCTTCATCCGGCATCAGGTCCCTCCTTACTCCCTCAAACCTAACCAGATTTTCCTTATACGGATGCGCCGCGCCCTCAAACGCCTTCAATCGTCCCAGTCTCCCATCTCGCAATCGATTCTTCGGTAACATTCCACTGACCGCCTTCCTCAGAACTTCTGCGCCTCCGAATTTATCCATCAAACCCTCCATACTGATTTCCTTCAAACTACCAGGTCGTGTGTTGTGACGATAATATTTCTTCTGATACATTTTTTTGCCCGTAGTGTGGAGATTCGCGCAATTGGTAACAACAACATAGTCACCGCAATCTGTGGAGGGATCCCAGATTGGCTTGTGTTTTCCCATGAGGAGAAGTGCGATGCGGGAAGCGAGACGCCCGAGGGGTGGTGGTGTGATGCGGGCTGTGACAGAGGGGGGTGAGGAGGGGTTTGGACGAGGTCGAAGGGTGGAGAGAGGAATGTGCGGGGCACTGGCAGAGATGTGATGCCACGTGCGGGAGTAGGCTAGTTTTGTCTGAGAGTGTGTTAATTTATGTATGCAGTTTGTTCGGGGGCTTATTCGCATATAACGACGACTTCGATGGTGCATGCTAGAAGAGTAGTAAAGGAAGAGGTTGAGAACTTACAAATCCATTTGTTTGCGACATCGTGGGATATAATTGGCACAATAACCAATGTAAATACGATGCGCGGGGGACGATATAATTGGCAACTAAATGATTCCCTCGTTGTCGTCGTCAAACTCAAGCCTTGAAGTCAATCGTGATTCTAGATGCCAAGACATTTTTTCTCGAATGGCTTTATGGGATCTTGATTGGCTGGATCTTTTGGCGAGGCTTCCGAGGCTGGATTTCAAAGCATTCATTGTTGCCCCACGTATGATGGAGATGTTGTATTCTGAACTTCATTCATATTGAATCTTCTCTTATTTATTATTCTATCACATACAGGAGGTCTGAGCAAGAGTTTTCAGAAATATAAACTCCTCAAAATGGCAATCACAACTCCCTTCCAGGTAGTTCCCCTCGATTCCGATCACGTGCATTGACCAAAACCGAAATATCACTAATGGAGAATAGACACAATTTGCAGTACCTATGACATGTGAAGCATGTATAAAAGACATCGAAGGGTCTTTATTTAAACTAGGTGGAATACAGAAAGTTGAAGCAAATCTGAAGGATCAGCTTGTTACTATCGAAGGAACAAGTAAGTTTGTAACTTTACCCCGCCAAGAAAATGGGAGAGTTTGGGAGATGGGGGTTCGTTACTGACGTGGGAATAGCTGCGCCTTCGGAGATTGTTAAGGCAATTGAAGATACGGGGCGAGATGCAATTTTGAGGGGTTCTGGGGGAAGTGATGGTATGTTTGTTTTTTACGTTGTGTTTGAGTGGGAGTGGGAGTTTGGGTTCAATTTCATTTCAGGGTTGGTGTCTTGAGGTCCTTGTCTGAGATTTGTATAGGTGCGGCTGTCTGTATTCTTGAGACACATGATACTACTGTATCGGACAAAGTACGAGGATTAGTGAGGATGGTGCAGGTATCTCCTACATTAACGTTGGTGGATTTGACGATTCGAGGATTGCAAGAAGGAATATACTGGGCCACTATTAGAGAGGCGGGGGATATTTCCAACGGAGCAATCTCTACAGCAGGTCTATGGAAGGGAGGTAGTGAAGATACACCGAGAGGTGCGTTTGGTACCGTGAGTGTGGGGAAGAATGGAATGGGAAGTGTGTTTTTGGACAAGCCAATCCAGATATGGGAAATGATTGGGAGGGGAATGGTAGTATCGAAACAACATGAGGGAGACAGAAAGTTTGAGAAGAATGATGAGAATACTCTCGTGGGGGTAATTGCACGGAGTGCTGGTGTATGGGATAATGATAAGACAGTCTGTTCTTGCTCGGGCAAGACATTGTGGGAGGAAAGGAAGGATGAGATCAGTAAAGGTATGCTCTGATCATATATCAGATGATCGCACAAGAAATGGAACGATAGCATGATACGATACGTACGCCCAAGAAGCTTTTTCTCTGCCACCCGCGCTTTTTACATACCTATACGTGCTTTCCGTCTGAGAACGACCCGTGGCTTGATCAGAGAAGTGCAAAGAAGCAATCCAGAGGAACAAAGCAGGGAATTTTCAAGTGTTTGATCAGGCTACCATGGACTAAATCAAACCTTAAGGATGAGTATTATGAAGAGTAAGCTTCTCTTGTCAAACGTTAAATACGAATGCGTTGCAAATCTGTCATAAACCGGGCAATGATTCCACTTTTAAATACCGTCAAGATTGCTTGTCTATGGTAACCCTAATCAGCGAGATCTAATCTCTCAATCGTAGCCCTACCTTAGGCCATCATGTATATTGATCTCATTATTCTTCACGGACCAAAAGGCTGGATGCGACAGAGAAAGCTGCACGCAACCTTAATTTTACATCTGTGTTTGAACTATCGTAGAATGTGCCGTACTTATTCATAGTGTCGGCTATTGCATATCCTCTCGGGCGATGTTCGTCCTGCTTGATTTGCCCACCTACTAGACTGCCGTTAAAGTTGAGACGAAAGGAAAAAAATGTTTTCTTCTGTCAAGCTGGGCAGCATCATGCAAACGGAGCAATCACGATGATGACCAGTTTTTGTGATCTGGCATCTTTATTTCGAGCTTGTTCTTCTCCCGCGTGGCCGTTTAGAACTTTGAATGTGCCCTAAATTCTCAAACAAGGTGAGAAAGGTGAGGTGGAAGCGAGTTTCGTCCAATCGAGGTGTCTTCCCCTGAGACGCCAAGCTTCCTGCGCTTCAATTCAATGCTTATCCGATATCCGATAAGATGCGGGCTAGGATATTCGGCGGTTATCTTTTGAGGAATCGCCCTACGGTTATGTGCGTGGCCGTTTGTGATCTGTTCGGAGGTTACTTTCGGGGTCAGTTGCTGAATTGGTCTGGGCCCAGCAGGCGAGGAAATTCTTTTGTCTTTTAGATGTTGGTATGAATTGCATGGCATGGATGATTATATGTATAGCATACGTTCGCATTGCCAAATCGATAGTTTGCAATGGCAAATTGTCGGTCAAAGACAAAAATAACTTGGCATATCGAACTCTTCCAATTGCATGACATAACAAGCCCGTGGATCTGAAGGTATTCATAGATACAAGATATCACAAGACCTTAACCTATAAATAATGTCGAATGAAATTTATACTCAGTACCAACAACATAAACTATTGAATCAATCCCGCTGCAAGCAACACTATCACAGTCACCGATGGCATTCTATCTTATGTGAGTTCATGATCTTCAACTCAATTCTACCAAGTCAAGAAACTCGACTAATCCAGACTTTAACCTACATACTGAATCATTAAAAAGAAAGAGAGATATCGTGGACATTTCAAAAGGTAGAAGAAATGCACGGACAAGAAGATACGTTGGATTACGCGCCGATGGAACAAAAAGTGACAGAAAGCGTAACTCTTGACCATCCAATCGGCATGGTATAGGGGATCTTGGAACACTTGCTGCTTTGAACCAGCCTTAAGCGAACTGAATCCAAGTTTCGCAAGCTCCAAATGTGTGGCCACCAACTTTTCACATTTACCAATCATTTTCATAATTTTGGAGAATAAAAGCAAATTTGCTGGTGGCTTGAGCGATTAATCATGATGCTTCTGTATGAAAAGCGTCTCAATTGTGGTTTACGCTTTCATTTCATTTCCAATATCGAGTGCGGCTTTTCGAAGTAGATAGCTAGTTGGAGTAGGTATACATTCGTCGCAACAATATATCACAACACCGGAACACGTAAGGGCAAGACAAAGCGACGTTACTACTGTTGCGAAGTATTCCGATAGATGAATGGTAAGATAGCTACCCGAGTAGATTTTGAAGCAGCGATTGACAAGGGGATTCAAGAATTGGTTTGAAATTTGTAACTCATTGCCCATGGGCTAAGACCGAAGCAAGGATATAACGAAAATGGCAAGAACACTTTCGCAGAATAGAAGAAATCTATTTCCAAAATTCATGTACTTTCCTGTGTTCCATATATGAATAGAGGTATGTATGTACGTATGTATGTATTTCATATCAACGCCCCTTGAGCCACTGCTATATTTGAACCTCAATCTCTGTATATAATATGGATAATATAACCATCCGCATGCATGAAACTCCCATGTTCGATCTACTTAAGTAGTCAATACTTCTTCCTACACATCTCCTCCGTACTAGTCGTAGCCCCGTTCGACACGATACGTCGATTAGTTGCCGTGGATCGTGTCGGGGTTAGCAGGGACCATTTTTCGACCAGGGAACCCCTCTAAATCCACATTTTAGTATCACTGCACCATCGACTTGCATCAAGAGACTAATCAATCCACGTACCAAGCAATTCAAACCTCGTCTCCTCGTCTAACTCTCCATTTTCAATCTTCCATATCCAAAAGAACTTCTAGGGCGCTACTCGTACATTGAACTTCTTCTATTATCCACTCATCCTCCTCCGTTCGTTGTGAGAGCGCTGCTAGCCAGCCATCGTACCTTACATTTCCAACCCAATTCGTTCTGCTTCGTGCATACACCCACACTCCCTTGTCTCTGAACTTTTCCACTTTATCCGTATCTTTATTCTGTTCTATTTTCGAGTATTCACATTTGAACATCAAGCTGTCAATTTTTCAATCTTTCTACAATCCATTCATCACGAGAACGGAAAATATCGAAGCCAAATCAAATCAAGTCTCCACGTTCCTTCGAGGTGCCGAATCGTTATTCCCCACCAGCCCACCACTACTTTACGATCAGCAATCAACACTAATTCATAGCGACGGGAGGAGCCCGCAAGTCAAATCCTACGAAAAGTACAAGGACTCGCATATGATCCTTTGAATTTATATACTTTAGAACATAATCTCAACCAAAATACCATTACTCGACAATAAGACATTCCCATCGCTGGACGGAGCCGAGAATATTTAATACACACTAGTTGCATCAAAGAGAAGGGACGTACGCAAGAAAAAAAGATACCGACATTTCGAGATAGCTTCGCACAACATACGAGTATTGCAACACGACATAGAATTTCCTTACACCGCTTGATAGCTGGTCGCCCACGAAGGCGACCAGCCAGCTACGAAAGAATATTTCACGAATACATAATTTTTGAGGGAGAAAAGGCATCATGTCTTTGAAACAGGTTAGTGGGTGGAAGGAAGAAAGATGAGGATTAGAGAAGGATACTTCAGTACTGACTACTTGCGCAGGAAATTGAGACGTGGGTTTCTGCCCTTGGTCGTTACGATAATAATGAATTCGATGAAGCGTTGAAGGAGTTTGATGGCATTGCAGATACTTCAAAGATTCTCTTCAATTGTGGTGTTATTCATGCGACATTGGGGGAACATGAGAAAGCGGTTAGTACTTCTCATTCCTGGTGACGAACTCCATTATACTGGCAGAATCTAATTCACTACAGGTCGAATGTTATCAAAAAGCCGTTCGTCTGGATCAATACCTAGCCGTAGCATATTTTCAACAAGGTGTCTCGAATTTCTTGGTTGGCGATTTCGAGGAGGCTTTGGCAAACTTCAATGATACTTTATTATACTTGAGGGGAAACAACATGATCGACTATGCTCAACTTGGTCTTCTTTTCAAACTATATTCGTGCGAAGTGTTATTTAATCGGGGGTTATGCTACATATATCTACAACAGAAGGAGGCAGGACTGCAGGATTTCTCCTTCGCTGTGAAAGAGAAGGTTGTTGAGGATCACAATGTCATTGATGAGGCAATTCGCGACGAAGCCGAGGTGTGTTTGTCATTCAGAGTTTAATGTTGAGAATTTACTAATGCTTTCATAGGGTTATACCGTTTTCTCGATTCCCGTAGGAGTTGTTTACAGGCCCAATCAAGCGAAGGTCAAGAACTTGAAGACGAAAGATTATCTAGGCAAAGCACGTTTAGTTGCAGCTTCAGACCGTGCAAATGCTTTTACTGGATTTGCCGGTTCAGAGATTAAGAATGTAAGTAATACTAATTGTATACTCTGAACCTGTGACACTAACTGTTTCAGGCTGGTATAATTCAACCCAAGGATGACCGCCCGACGGAGAACCTTTCATATGCAGCAGCGAACCTTGTAAAGCCCGGTTTGGCTAGCAAAAGACAACAATCAGAGCCACCTCTAAACCGAAATGTTTTCCCACCTACACCACCTCCTGAGGCAGAGAAAATTTCTGGACCTCCACCCATGAGTCGCGGTGCTTCTGTTCGGAACGGACCTAAACCCATGCCAGCTAAACTCAACATCGAAAAAGCACGTCCTACTGAAAGTTATGAGATTCGTGAACGTGACGATGCAAGAAGTCCTCCAGATGCGCGACCCGCCAGACGCGGGACTCAAAGAACAGCATCAGAACCAAGGGGGCCATCGCAAATGCAATACTCCAATAAACGATCCGAATCACGTTCAAGACAACCACCAAGACGAATGCAATCAACGCAAGAAGAAGAAGATGACTACCCAGAGGATCTCTATGATATGTATAGCTCCCCAGGTCGGAGATCGAACAATTCTAGACGCAACACCCGGAATAGATATATCGAAGAAGAAAGTGAATACGCAAGCGACTACGATGAAGGTTCTTTTGACGAAGATGAGTTCGAAATGGTCTCTAGTCGTCCGCCTCCTAGATCCCGCACAACATCTTCGATTAATGGTGGTAATGGTCGAGCTGGCTCTCGTCAACCTGATGTTCGCAAAGTTCGTGTGAAGGTCCACGCCGAGGATGTACGATATGTTATGATAGGCTCGGCTATCGAGTTCCGCGATTTCCAAGACAAGATAAAGGAAAAGTTTGGACTGCGTGATCGATTTAAGATCAAAGTTCGTGACGAGGATGTTCCTAATGGCGATATGATTACGATGGGTGATCAGGATGATTTGGATATGGTTTTGATGAGTGTGAAAGCAAATGCGAAGAGAGAAAGGTTGGATATGGGAAAGATGGAAGTGAGTTTATTTTACCTTCCTCTTTTTTCCACTAATATCGCTTACTGACATACAAACCAGATTTGGGTAGTAAAAGCGTGATTTGAGAACAAGTAAGATAATGATGAATGTTGACGATTATGTCTTTCCTTTCTATTTTATTTTCTCATGTACCAAAATTTCCTCTTTATTTTTGGAAGAAGTTGCTGGGAAGAGAAGCGAGATTTTTGTCTACTTAATTTGTTCGCCGAGGGAGAAAAATACTTCTTTGATATGATACCAGCAAATATCCACATTAGCGAATATAAATGTATTGTTTGCTTTCTTATATCCTTCTGAACATTGGTATTTGAGTTTACAGCGCTTAGAATTGTATAAGCGAGCGCCGAATCCGAATCGAAAAACAGGAATGTATGTACTAGGTATGTGGATATACGAGTACATTGTAATTATGGGAGAGGAGAGAAAAGGGAGGGAAGCTATCATTCATACATGTCTGGGACATAATTGATATATCTTTCCTTTTTTGAGTTTGAGTTTGAGTTTGAGTCTGGGGGGTTTTGTGGATTTGAATTTGGATTTCGACTTTCTCTCCTTTTTGTGTTGTTTGCTATTTGCTATTTTGTTGTTGGGGAAGAGGGTTTAGGTTTAGGGGGGGGGGGGGAGATGAGATTAAGTGGTTAATGTAAAATGAATAGATGTATGCATGTATAGGGAAGAACTCGGGTATCGAGGGTTTGGATATCCAGAATGCAGATGAATGATGGGTGTGAGAATGAGGAACGCATAGGACTGGGCAAATTGGAATGGTTTATATGTACTATGGATATTAATTAGTATGGATCATGGATATATATGTGTATGTGTGCGTGTGTATATTGGACGATGTGAAGATTTTCTATTGATTGATTGATTGATTGATTGAGAATGGAGACTTGACTTAATGTGGGAATGGAAATGGAAATGAAGATTATGCATGGATAGACGAATAGGTAAACAAATAGGTAACTTGTGATTGAATGAATATTAGTATTTAAATGCTATATCTATTATATCTACACCTATCTACCAAACCCATTTAGACAAGATTAAACCCCCCCCCCCCAAAAAAACTCGCAGGAAAGGAACCCATGAAATCTCTAATTCCCCCCTGCCTCTCCCCCATTCCCTCGCTATATGGAATAAATCTATCTGACACTCGGTAGTAAGAAAGACAATATCGAATGCAAAACAGAAGCGAAGGAATCCCAAAGGTTTGGGCTTGTCAAATTTGCTACGCGGTGGAATTTGTATGTATTTTAATGGCTCTCAATTTGATTGACAGAAAAAGAAAAGGAGAAGCGAAGGGGCCTTGTATTTCGTAGCTGTGTGGAGCGGGGTCTTGTGAGTTGGCTGGTGGATAGAAATCTAAGTAAGGCTGCTACGGGGGGGGGGGGGGCAGTGTTAGACATGTAGTGGAATATGAGAAAATCCAGACATGCTAACTATTCATAAAACATGGATAGACTCTTGTTTTGTTGCGAGATTAAATCGAGTTGAATTCCATGCTTAAATGGTATCTGCCATGATCTATATACATGGTCCTGAAAATGCGCCTAACGCTCTATACCCAAGATGCCAAAACGCCTTTCCAATATAAAGCAATGGTGAGTGGCGCCATGCAAATTATGCTATCATAAAATCATGATGTACGTCAAATCTATAGCTTTGGTGTGACTGGAGTTCTAGTGACGGCGACATTGATGAGACCGTTTGGTCCAGATTGAGGAGCATAAACTTCTGCGTCCTTTCCGGTGTTCTTAAGACCCTTGTGCCAGCTGAGATCTGTGGAAATGTTAGAACTCTTCTCGTACATTGAATGCCTCGTTTACTTACCAACTTCGAAATAATGCTTATTGGGCAAGGAGTAATCCACAGCCTCGACTTCTGGGACGGCTTCCAAAATGGAGCCGCACATCTTGTACATGGTGTTTTGTACAGATGGGCTGTTCTCTTCAGCGAACGTCTTCATGGTGATATTTCTGGCATCGTCAAATGCTTTATCGAATTTGGGGATGGCCTCTTTCACAGCGTCCAATCCGGCAAATGTTTTCCATGACCAGCCACAATCAACATCAGTGGACAAAATTCTGTCCCAGACCTCAGGGAGTGTAGTGTACTCGTCTCGGACAAAGCCATGGAATTGTGAGCCGGTGCTCTTCAAAACCAAGAGCCCAACAATTCCGCTGCGGATATCGATGCCCTTTCCTCTCTTGATAACGGCTTCAACATTTCGTGTTTCGCTTCCGTCTCTATAGAATGAGTGAGGGTGGGGTTTGCCATCGATAGTCATTCGTGTCCATCTGTGAGTAATGATTTTGATGTTGGCTGCGGTGAGATGGGGGTAGGTCTCGATAAAGTGAGTTCCGAGAATACTAGCAAAGAGCTCGGGTGGAGTAACTGGATGTTCTTTGGCTTTGATGTAAACTGTATTCTTCATGGAATCGGTTGCAACCACAACACTGTTATCGGCCTTGGTATATCTAGAGATTGGTTAGTTCTCGATTTCAGGGGTATCCAATAGAAGAGGCAACATACGAGACGTCGATAGCACCCTCCAGTAATACACAAACGGTCATTTCAGTGACAGTTTGAGTTCCGGTCTGCTCATCTCTCTCTACTTTATAGACGCGGACATTGTCCTTGCCATATTTTGCTGAAGCTATCGATGCCATGATAAATGTTTAAATCTGTGTTGATGTCTAAAAAGTAAGAAGTAGCAATAGAACGTATCTGAAAGACTTGATAGGTATTAGTATGATGTGAGCGACAACAAGAATGAGGATAGCAGATGAATGAATCGAATGAAGTCAAGGGGACTTTGGTCTCTTTATGGAATTCTGAGTATAGTCGCTAAAGAGTCTTAGCGGCCATGAAGTTGAATATTGTTTCGAGGAGAACGGAGAAGCTCAACCTACCTGCAGGAATCCACCGAATAAGATAGCTACGGGATGTTGTATCTTGGCTCCATATGCGAGGAGTTGATTCCAATATCTATCGGAAGGCGCCGAACGCACGAGGCCGACTTGTAGCCTTGTAATGAAACTTTGATAATTGGTCTTACTTTTACCTAACAACCATAATTTTTGGATGAAAAAGTCTTTTCACAATGCGGGTCTTGGGGAGAAAGGCATTTGAAACTTCGGGATTTGAGAAATTAAAGCGATATCGATAAATATTTCTTTCGCATGATTTTGTTCTGTCATTACATGAAATATTGAGGAATGGAAATGCAAGGCTGACCTGCCAAAACCAACGGGGTCGTCCGCCATACCTATTCTATTCCTATTACCTACTAAAACCACGAGTCTGACAGGTCTGTTCTCTCGTACGATGATTCTTATGTCTCATTGGACCCCACTATGAAACTTTGAAGCTTTGAATGGTTCGAATCTGATGCCGCTTCAATAGTTGAAGAAGACTGTGAAGGTCATCTCGAGGTCTATACAGAGAGATCATACAACTCCTTAAAAGGAGCGACAAGGCGGTCTCTCTCCTTGGAATTATCATGATGAACTGAAGATCTGATAGACAACGGGAACGGGGTTACCATGAGATCCTCTTATCAGCCTATTGCCGTTCTTAATATAGCGTTACTACTGCACTGTTCATTGATAAGGAAGTCCGATTCCTGAAGGGGGGTATTTTCGTACATTATCTTGAAGCGTGAAGCACCATTCCGTACAGTTCATCCAGTCTGTACGCCTAGCAACCAAGCGTTCCTGATGTATGTTGCAACATTTCGATGTATCTTCATTTCTACCATATAGAGTAGGAACGTATCCGAACATTACATAAGAAGAAGATATAGACACAAATATCCATAAGAGTTTGAAATGTAATGAATGTATTTGTCCATGAAAAATTTCCCCATACAATGAACACCAAAAGCAATTTGTTAGCGATGTCTTCATGGTCTTTTGGTCGTGTTGATCTGTGTTGTGACTTTTACCCCCATCATCTACCTATCTGCGGGAATCGGAGCGTTAAAGAACGAATTGATTGATGAAACATTTTAAAGATTCTATAAACTGTTCGTCGCAATAAAATCCAGCAGTTGAATTTCAGAATTATCAAACAGGCTGTTTGATACCTCCATTTTCCCACAATCTTTAGTCATTTTCTAGTACAGCAACACCTCAAACTTCACTATCTACAAGCTGGGTGCCCACATCGACTGCGGAACCTCCACACATATCACGACAAGCATATATTGTATTGCCTACGAACACCGTTCAGCTGGACCGAAATCCATTGCACTACAACCATATCTCCCATTTTCGCATAGGTATCTGGATGACTTTTGTGTCGGTCCCTTAACTGCACCACCTATGTCACCCCCGCACGAAGAACGTTGACCCCGACCTCTCGAATGGGCAGATGGTTGGACCATCGAGCATTCTGGGTTCGTCTGTGACGACTGCCCAGAAAAACACATATGCACAACAATATGCCGGGAGGACGAGTTTAGATCAACCTGGGGGGTTGCAACCACCGGGTCAAAATGGCTCGCGAATGGCCTCAAGCTCGACAGCCGCATTTGCGCCTCGTGGTTCCTCTCTCGCGCCATCCCCCGCCCCGGGAAGCTTCAGCTCGACAATGCGTAGCCAAATGCCACGGCAAGCTTCGGCTCTCGATACAAATGTTTCCATGGTAAACTTGGAGCGATTGGACGAAGATGATAGTACGACGCCGGTCAAGATATTGTCGAATTTACGCGAAATGCTGAGTAGGGAAATGAAAATAAAAGAGGGCAGTGAGAACATGTTGGAGGCGCTGAATACGAAGAAAGCAAAGCAGACGAAAGAGCAAAGGCAAAGGGTGGAAGCGGAGTTGAATATATCCAACCAGAAGATCAGAGATTTGAGATTGAAAATTACGGAAATGCAAAAGCCTAAACCACCCACCACTCCTACGCGCAGTCGAATGGATGCTCTCTTCCAAAGTAACGGTGTGAGGTCACCTCCAAGTGCTTCTAAAAGTATGGGAGGCTCAGAAGCAGCAGATGAGCCTACAGAGTCGCCAACGTATGTCTTAGCTGAAATATTACAAGCTCTAGAGGTGGAAGGTCTCACTCCGGATTACTACGTTGGTCATGCAAACGATCTGGTTGAGCTCTTCAAGCGTCACCCCACCTTGAAGTATGATCTAGTCTGGTCAGTATTTGGCTTGAGAATGCAAGTTATGCTTCTGAGTGGGAGTCGAGAGGTTGTAGCTGCAGGATATCGCATGACAAGATATGCAATTTCGGATGTCAGCTCTTTACAAAAGATTCGTAGCCTAAATACTGATAATCTTGTTGTCGTGTAAGTACTGGATCTGGTAAACATTCATGCCTAATACTAAAGAGTTCTTAGGTCACTCATCAAGAAGGGAACTTCTGACGTGGAAAGAGAGCAGGCCTTGAAGTTCATCCGAGCATTTCTAGATGTAAAAGACGGCATAAAAGAAGTCTCTAGGGCTGTGGTAAGAACTATAGCTTCAGTTGCAGATCATGAGGAGGATCGACTCAAAGCTATCTGCATAGAGACACTTGCGGAGATCATGGTCCGCGATCCAGGTCTTGTCGTTGCCTCTGGTGGCCTCAGACCTCTTGCCGATGCCCTAGGCGATGGTACTTACGACGCCTCGGAGAGTTTAACAGCAGCTTTTTTGTTTTTGCTTGATTCTCCTCATAGACGCCAGTATTTGCGATCGGGTTATGAGCTAGAAATCCTCTTTACTTCTTTCACCGACTCACTATTTGTGAAAGAAGAAATTTTGAAGCAAAACTCGAAGGCTATTTCATATGCTATGAATTCATGGCCTGGTCTTATGACATTGTCTATGTACGACTTCAGAGCTATCAAATCCCTAATATCATGCTTGATCCTCCCCAATCCCATTGTACGCGAGACTGTCATAGATATGCTTTATGGAATCTTGCGCATCAAGTCTCCTTTTTGGGCAACCTCTTTCCTCGCTGGTAGACGTCTCACTACATATGGAAGAGTTGCAAACCTCAAAACAGCACCGGCAAAGGCATCGGCACAGTCAGCGACCGATGATGAATCGGGCGATAAAAGCTTCGTCGATCATTACACAGCGCTTCTACTAGCAGTGCTAATAAATGCCGGCATGGTTGAAGGATTGTTGCAGGTAACCTCAGATACTGATAATGCGATGTTGAAGCGAAAAACTACTCTGCTCATTGGAGAAACCTTGAAGCTTGCGAGTCAACTATTACCATCAAGTTGGAGTGCCGAGCTTCAGTTACTCCCCGGATTGTTCGCTGCTGCATCTCAGTTCGGGAGCGATGGTCGAATTGTGGCCACTAGCACGGTATATCAGATTAGCAGTGTGAGTCGGACATTGTATAGATCAGCTCCATCCATCTCGACAACTCTTTCGATAAATAATAGTCACGATAACTTGTCAAGCTTAGGAGACCAGCCTAAAAGTAATCCTAACGTCTCGTTTGATGAAACAACATTCAGGCAGCTATTGGTTGAATCTCAAGTTTTGGCCAGCACAAATCCTATTAAGTGGAAGTGGGACATTATCTTGCGAATTATCGAGGGCCCGCTTACAAACGGCAAGCGGCTAGATGAAGCTGTGAAAGCCTCAAAGTTCATCAAAAGAATAATGAGTTTCTATCGGCCGTTCAAGTACAAGTTTTCTGAAGTTAGAAACACAAGAATAAATCAAAAATATATCAAGGTCGGTTGTGCACTCATGCACACTCTCCTCCAGACCGTGGAAGGAGTCAAATACTTGGCGGACAACAAGCTACTCAGACAAATTGCAGAATGTCTTGCTCAATGTGACCCGGTAACAATACCCCCCTGATTATGATGACTATCTTGTATACTAAAACCTCGCAGACGAGTGGCCTCACCGCTTCTCAACCAACATTCTCAAAAGAAAGACTTTCAGAAACTCTTGCATGTGGCTATTTTGCTATGCTTGGAACTCTGACTGGCGATCCAAAAGGGTTGCAAATGCTCGATCGTTGGCGAATGATCAATATGATGTATCACATAATCGATTTGAAGCAACGTCCCGACTTGATTAGGCTACTGTTATCAAACTTTGACTATAATTTACCGGGACACCCGAGAGTCCTCTTATCTAAGGCTCTGACTGCAGGATCCAAGGAGATTCGTATACATGCGACGAACGTTCTACGGAAATATTCAAGTCGAGCCACAGGGACCACCGACTATAAATGGGCAATCGAGCTTTTAGTCACCCAACTTTACGATCCAGAGGTTGAAGTCTGTGCAACTGCTATCAAGATTCTTGAGGAAGCTTGTAATAGGAAGAGCTACCTCGAATTTATTGTGGAGTGTCGTCCAGCTCTAGACCATTTGGGAGAAATCGGTGCTCCATTACTACTACGTTTCCTTTCCACGTCAATTGGATATCATTATTTGGATGGACTGGATTATATCAGCAATGAAATGGACGATTGGTTCCTAGGACGAAATGATAGTTATGTAGGAGTTATCGAGGCAAGCTTGGCAAGATCCTTTGTAGAAATGCCCGAAGAATCTTCAAATAGGATGAGTATGGACGAAGATAGCTTTGACCTCGAGGGCGAAAACGATGCACAAGTTCCTCCTCACTTCTACAGAGAACTCACCCGTACAAAAGAAGGCTGCAAACTTCTTCAAGATAAAGGACATTTTGAAGAATTTGCTTGCACTATCCGTGAATATGGTATGCTAGCCGATGATCCAGAACTCATTCTCAAAATCAAAGGATGTCTTTGGGCAGTTGGAAACGTAGGATCAATGGAGCTAGGTGCACCCTTCCTAGAAGAATCAGATGTCGTCGAACAAATCGTCAAGATTGCTGAAGAACACCAAATCATGAGTCTACGCGGTACCGCATTTTTTGTTTTGGGGCTCATTTCGCGCAGTCGACATGGACTTGAGATTCTTTCTGAACATGGGTGGGATTCAAATACTACCTCTCTAGGTGTCTCACTCGGCCTCTGCATTCCTCAGAACCTGAACAAATTTTTCTCCTACCAACCTTGGGAACACAAAACAATCTCCGACATAGTAATCACAGATGAAGAAAAAATCGAAATCGACAAAGCGAGAGTAGATGATCGGGACATAAATCAACGTATCCTAGAATTGGTGGAAAATCTAGGAAATATGATATTGCATAAAAAGGCAATTGGGGAGCTGATACAAATCAAGGAGAATCAAGGGGATGCATTTAAACAGGTGGGGCTCTTCAAAAAAGTTATGGTACTGTTGGAATATCATCATTTCAGATTGCCGATGAGGAGGTTCGTTATTGAACTTTTCGAGAAGAGGGTTCTTAGACGCATTGTGCTGGATGAGGATAGTGATGATGAAGTAGAGATGGGAGTGGGTATGGGAGGGAGGGAAGGAGCGGGGAGGGAAATGGGGGGAAGAGAGATGGAGAGAGTACAAAGAGGTCCAAGACACGAAGAAGATAGTGGGAGCGAAGGCGTAAGAACAGAGCGTCAGAGAAGTGTTACGGATATTAGAGTGGTGGGAAATGAAGCGAATAATGCTTCGATTTGAGTTCATGTGGTTCAAAACAGTGGATGGATGGCTGCATGGATATGTACGATTACAAGAGATCGACAGACACACAGAGAGAGCGAGAGAAATGGTGAAATGATAAGTGAGGTGTAGTGATGTATGCGACATACACTCTACATCTATTGGCATAACCCAAGTAGCAAAGATCAAATTTTCTTCACGGCGCTCGCTTTCTCTCTCCTATTTCCTCTTTCCATTTTCTCCCTCGCATTGAGGAGAGCAATATTGCGCAAAGCGCAAAGCGAAACCCCTACCCGCTTCTCTTTCCGCATTTCCGCTTCCGATTCTGTATTTTCGAAATTTATCTAGCATAGACATAGGCTTGTTTAGGCTACCTACTTACCTACCTACCTAGGCAGTTGTTTAGGGTGGTACGTACGTACGTACCGACGGGCGGGCGTGAATTCATCGATCTATCTGTCTGGTTGGTTGGGTGGCAGGCGTGGTTGGCGTGGTTTGGTGTATGGAGTGCGTGGGGTGGATTGATTTGATTTATTTGGTGTTTTTCTTCTTCTTCTCTTTGAGGCATGGTTTGGCTTCGTTTGGTTTGTTTGGTTTGCATTTAAGAGGGTCGGGAGATGGGGGTTTGAGGAGAGGGGGGTGGGGATGGGTTCAAGGTTTGAAGCATTGAGGGATGGGTAAATGGATGACATCGAAATTTGAATTGTAGGAACGTAGAAGCTGAAGCGGGATATAGAAGATGAAGATCAGATGTTGGGATTTTGAAAATAAATGAAATGGGATTTTACTTATTTTATATGCTGGACTTGAGAGAGAGAGAGAGAGAGAGAGAGAGAGAGAGAGTGTGTGTGTGTGTGTGTGTGTGACTAAGTGAGTATCTTTGCCTTCTATAACATGTATTGAGGAGGAATAAATAGATGTAAGACATGTATGATATAATTTCAACCAAGTCTCATGCACTTCATTTAGGGAAAGCCCAGAACCACATAAAGGACATGACTTGCAATTACAGCCAAACGATCACAACAATCAATGTCATTCAAATCACCCAAGATCACAGTTCACGTCAAGCAGCATAGATAAATTTCATAAATTTCATTCGTTCTTGCTAATTGCAGCTGGCTGGCGTGATGAAAAAGAAAAGAAAGTTAAAAAAACCAATGACAGAGAAAAAAGGGATTATAATTGTACAACAAGGTTTTCCGAGCATCCATCCTGCGTTCCTCCCCACAAGCAGGGACCTCCAATACCCCCTTGACACAAATCCATAGCTTTCACAATAGATTCATCCCCCAGCTCCAGAACAAGACAAGCCCTTCCATGTTCTTTTGCTCTGTATTTCACTCAAGACCAACCGCCACCAGCCAGACAGGCTATCAGAGAAAAACCTCATAATCACTGCGCAACAACCTTGAAGCCCCATGCCTTACTTTGCGGAGATGACATTAGGGTATCAAGTCGTAACAGCGCCAATGCAGATAAAACAAAAACGCAAAAGCTGGAGCGTAACAGTCGTAGACCATCATATGGGGATGCATTGAAGCAATCCGGGTCATCGATCATTAGAGCCACGTAAAGACGGAAAAAAAATATGGACAGAAGAATAAAAAGCTTTTAGAGGTCGTGATCGGCTACCAACCATATCGCCGTCCAAATCCAACCCCTGCCAGCCAAAGAAATTTGCAGATAGAAAGCATCCCATTTTGTCCCACGCACCAAATACCGGATAATGCATTAGAAAGATGACCGAAAACAAAGATCTGATGATAACGGAATTTAGTCTAATGTGTGAAATCTGAGGTATCACAGTGAACAGAATGAGGAACTTTTAAGACACCCTTTGAAAATAGGCCCCGCCGTAAATGCAAGATTAGCCCGCCGTCTATGCACAGAAATTAGAATGATCCGTTGTATTAAACACTTTTGTTAATGCTCAATGATCAAGCATCACCCTCCTTCTTGTCAGAAGCTGCTGTGGACTTTGACAATACTGGAGAAGTGTGAGTAGAAGGAGGAGATGCTGGATTCTCGGTCTCGCCAGATCCTAATCCTGCTAGTAGACTACGGAAAAGTTAGTTAGCCTCAATGGATATTAAGAATAGAATATACGAACCTGAACGCATTTGCGGAAGTAGCTGATTTCCTATCCTTGTCTTGTGGGGGTGTGCCTGTTCTTGAAGAAGCTCCAGAGTCTTCACCTGTTCTGCCCAAGGAACCTCCTGGTCCCATCTTTCGGCCACTGTTGCTTCTTGAAGAAAACATAGATGATGGTCCGAATGACAACTGTGCATTGGTGTTTCGGCTTGCACCACCCTTGTTTGTGAGACGACGAAGGTCATCCATACCAACAGTGTTCTTCTGGTAATCAGGAGGAGGTTGGTTACCATATCCACCAGAGAAGTTTCTTCCGTCGCCACGACCCATTGGCATGCGTCCTCCACCACCACCACCTCTTTGACTCCTAGAGTTCTCGGCAGCCTTTGCAGCAGCAGCAGCCTCGGCCTATAATTAATTAGTATATTTTCACTTGTCAAAGTTCGTGAGGAAACTCTTACCGCAGCTCTGACTTCGTCAAGTGTCTGAGGACCCTTGTTTGCTTCCTTTGAAGCCCATCCCTTCTTTCGAAGATCGACGATGTCCATAAGCATGAACTTGAGACGACTTGGCAACTCAGGTTGCTCCATCATGGCGTTAATACGGGCGAAGTATACATCCATCAACGGTCTACCCTTCTCGGTGCTGTCAAGGTTAAGACCGATGGTCTTGAGGAGTTTGGTCAAAGACTCAATCTCAGCTTCGTCAGGAAGGCCATTGTAGTCCACGAGTTTCTTGACACACTCGTGCATAATACGCTCTGTAAGCATACTAAGCTTGTACAACTCACCAATGAATTGAACAAGACCAAGACCACGTCTCTTGGCAGCAGCAGCGATATAATACTCGTCTGAGAGCATAGCAGCTTCTTCAGTCTTGGCGTCCTCGCGTTCACCCTCAGGCTTCTCTGGCAAGTCAATCTTCCAACCTCTCTCGAATTCTTCTTGACATCTATTGAGCAAGTACTTTCGGAAAAGGTTACCACCAGAAACGATGTTTCCATTCTTGTCTACGATGCTCTCATCCTTGATGTCAGGGCTCATGGTCTCTAACATGCGCTTGCAGAACTTGGCATACATGGAAGCCCAGTGAGCTTCATCAGTGGCCTTCTCGAAAGTAAGTTGAATGACCTGTCTCAGCGTGCGGCCATCTGCTTCATCCCTAGACTGTGCAGCAATAGCCAAGATTTGGTCGGCGATCTTGTCGAACTTCTCAGGAGTCATCTTGTTCAAAGCGGCCTTGACCTTTCTTTGAACCATGTCAGGGTCCATGTGGCCAGCGCCAGGAGTGGCACCAGGTGTAGGTCCAGCAGCACCAGTAGCTGTTTGAGTTTGACCGACACTGCGTGGTTTCCAACCAGTGGAAGAGATTTGAATGGGCTTGATCTCCATACCGCTGGTAAGAGGCATCTTTGCTGCGGCTTGGGCCTCTTGCTTAGCGTTACTGCCTTGGTAACCGCCTTCACGCTTGCTACCACCACGAGTGGATCTGCTTGCTTGACGTGGGGAGTGTGGCATAGAGTTGGTAGAGTTGGTTCGTTGCATAGAGCCACCGGGGAAAGCTCCACCGGGGCGTTGGAATGAAGCCATAGGGTTGTTGATAGCTGGTCGTGCCATATTGCCTTGAGACATGGCAAAACGCATCTCGCTTGTAGTACCAGGTGGAAGGGTCTTTCCACCTTGAGCACCGAATTGACCCATAGTGAATTGTCCAACGGCATTTCCGCCACCGCGGTTTGATCCTCGAGGACCCATGCCACCGGGTGTTCTCTGTGATCCACCGGGTCTGGCAGAGCTTGGATCATCTCCGATGAGAGCCTTGATTTGTGACTCGAATTCCATAGATGGCTTCTCGGTGAATACCTTTTGGAATTGGAGCAAAAATTCTTTGTCGTATTTGAAGGTCTTGCCCTTGGCATTAGCGGCAGAGTTCAAAGCAGGGTTTGGCGAGTTGATGTTGGCTGGATAGATGGAGGAGTCAAGAACAGTCAAGAAACGAGCAGACTTGAGCGACTGGAGAGCTGCACTAGGTTGAGGTGGCTCAACAGGCTTAGTGTTAAGAGGTGCAAGGTTAAGCGCAGCAGGCTTGCCTCGCTTCTCGGCAGCAAGTGTCTTGGGAGGTGGACCCATGGAATCATCAGAAGGAGGAGTTGATGCACCACTGTCGGTTTCGAGGGTAGCCTTTGAAAGCTTTGAAGCAAGAGTATCTGCGGTCTCCTCATCCTTCTTAGCATCGCCACCTTTGGCCTTGGCTTCGGCCTCGGCTCTCTTCTTCTCCTTTTCATCTTCGAGGCGTTCCATCTCGCGCTCTTGCTCTTTGAGTTTGCGGTCATTTTCTGCTGCATTGGCCTTGTCGGCTTCAGCCTTCTCGGCGGCAAGTCTTGCTTTTTCGGCGTTACGCTTAGCGAGAAGTTCAGCTTCTTTCTTCTCTCGTTCAACTTCAGCTGCCTCCATCTCGGCAATTTGTCGCTCCAACTCCTCTTCAGCTTCCTTTTGGGCCTTCTCGGCAGCAGCTTTCGCGTCTGCTTCTTCCTTGGCCTTAGCTTCTTCGGCGGCCTTGGCTTCTTCCTTTGCCTTCTCTTCTTCCTTGGCCTTGGCTTCAGCGGCGGCGGCGGCTTCAGCAGCCTTAGCAGCCTCCTCATTCTTGGCCTCGTCGACCTTGTCACCTCCTGCTGCCATCTTCTTGACCTTTTCTTGCATCTCTTGACGGATCTCTTCAGCAGACTTGGTAGCCAAGCTATCAGTGCGAGCATGTTGAGGAGTAGCGGACTTTGGTGGAGGTGTTGGTGTAGACGAAGCAATGACAGGTGGTGTTCTAGTCCTGTTGCTAGGAGCTGGAGAAGCAGGTGCCTTGATTGCGTCAACATTCAAGACATCACCGTCAGGTCTCTTGATGACAATAGCAGCGCTCTTGCGAGTTGGTCTAGAGAATGTGTTTTGAGCGACAGGCTTTGGCTGAGGTGTATGCGAAGTGGTCGGTGTGATCATAGGAACTTGGGTTTGGCCCATGCTAGAAGCTGGTCGATGTTCAGACATTTGAGACGAATTGCGGGACATAGGTTGTGGTGCTTGTTGTGTATACTGACCAGCGATATATGGTTGGTTGTAACCTGGTTGTGGCGATTGGGGTGGAACAGGGTGCATATAACCAGCTTGAGGATATTGGAAAGTTGGAGGGCCACCCATTAAAGGCATAACGGGGTAAGGACCGTAGGGATGAGTCTGTGTACCTGTTAGAAATTTGTCAAAGTTGCCAGAAGCTGGCGAGAAATCAATGTTTGAAACATCAGAAGAAACGTTGAAATAGGGAGTAGCAGAAGGGAGAGGGGGGAGGCTTGGGTCCGTAGAACTTAGATCTGCAGGTTTCTTCGGGATAACTGAATCCTTGGCTTGAGGTGAGGGCAAATTCAACTGTTGGTTGGAAACAGGAAAGCCATTCTCCTGGTGCTCCGACTGCATGGATCCTTTTCTATTTCTGGCAATACCTTGACCGTTACTTCCACGGGAAAACGCCTGTTCATGATAGGTAGTGAAGCGGTGACCAAAAAGTTCTGTTGAAGGCTTTCGGCAATGTTGGGCTGAAGACTTATCAAACCACTTCTTGCTTCTACTACTACTACCACCACCACCGCCTCGATTGAACGTTGGACAAGAGAAAGAATCGTTGGAATAAGAGGGGCATTGGTTTACCGGGTATTGATAGCCTTGTTGTACTTGAGGAGCTCCCATGTGAGATGGCTGATAGTAAGCAGCATGAGCGTTGAATGGTTGTGGGCTCTGCATGGGCATCGCTTGGTTCATGTTAGGAGTACCGGGGATTGAGTTCGAAAGAGCTGGGCTTCGAGCGGCTTGGTGTGGGGAATTCTGGTACTGTGGGCGACCTTGGTTTTGGAAAGGAGGCACGCCACCACGTCCGCCATTTTGGTTGTTTCTAAACTGTGGTGGGTTTGGTGGAGGGAAGCCAGTATGACCTGTGTATTGCTGGTTGAATCCACCACGTCCACGACCACCACCTTGTTGGTAGCCACCACGCCCAGCTCCTGGGCCTTGATTGTTGTCACTTTGTGCCGAATGCGATGATTCACGACGAAGGTGACCGCCTGCTTGACTATTAGGTGCCAAAGGTCCTTGGGAGGCTGCTTGTCGCATGTGTCGCTATAGAGAAAGCAGGTCAGTAAATGTGCCATGAGCCTGCGAGGAATGATACTTACATCACCGTCGTTGCCTAAACTACCAAAAGTCATATTTCCTTGTTGAGAAATTCCAGATGGGGGTCTTCCGCCACTTGCAGTTGGTTGGGGAATAGGAGATGGCGAGGTTGCTGGCGAAACTACTCGTGGGTTGTTTCCTGGAATTGGAATTGGCTCCGAGGCGGGTTGAGAGATTTGTGGGATGCTGTGAGAAGCGGCAGGAGAATCCATCAAAGCTCCAAATCGAATGCCACCTCTTGAACCACCGACTGGACCTCCATTGGGAACGTAACCTGCGGGACCGTTTGCGCTGATTGTCACCGAGCTCTTACGGCTGTGGTCAGTCGAACCACCATTCGCTGCAGCATTGCTATGGGCGATAGCTGGTGCAGAAACTGCCGGTACAGCTGGAGGAATCGAAGCTCTACCGTTTACCGGCGAGATAGAGGATGATTTTCCATGTTGCTGTACCGGCGCAGAACCTCCGACAGCCACGGCGGGGGATGGAGTCGAGGAGCTCGTCGCAATAGGTGGCGACGAGACTGCCTTCTTTGCGGTAGAAGCGTACGACTGGGTCGACTGCGACGTGCTAGTGGTGTTTGAGGCCTGGCTTTGGTTTTGAGATTGTTGAGGAACGGAAGTCATAGGGTGAACTGTTTGTCGAAGGTGACCTCGTATCTTTTCGGAAGAAGGGATTTGAATTAGATTGTATGACGTTATCGCGATAGGTGTGGATGACGGGTAGTATGCCTTCGCAGATGGTCGAGATTGAATGAGAATCGATATCTATTAACAAGAAAGAGAATCTTCTTGAATTAATTCGATAGAAAAAGGTTGAGTGGAGAGAGGATTTGTGGTTATGTTTCTTCCTGAGTGGGCAGAAATTAATCGCTCTCAAAAAAAAGTGCGAATATCTGGAGATTCGCCCTCTCTTTTCGTGTGGGTGAATGGATGGGAGAATTTGTATTCGTTACAGTTTGAATAACTATAACTGTACAATTCTGGTGAAAGGTCGATACTTTGTGAAAAAGATATCGAGGAGACTATTCCTGCGGCAGTCGTTCTTCTACAGAATAGAAGATGTGCTGCTGGGATAGTATTTTTTTTATTGTGGGAGGTATTTTCAAGTTGTCTTGAAATTGTTGGTGGTGGTAGAAAAATTGTTTTGAGAGAAATCTTGATAAATTGATATCTTCGATGGTGGCTCGGCTAGTTTGGAAATGCTTAACTTTTTTTTTCTACGTCTGGGGACACTAGGGAAAATGTGATTTGGTGAATGTGTGTGTATTGACACCTTGGATATAAGGCTACTATAAATTGTATGAGGAAAACTAAAATTAACTAGGAGGTACTAGGTAGGTATTGAAATATGTCGTAGACAAATATATATAATATTCACTAGGTAGGTTTGTACTGTTCCCTCAAGAAGAATAAGAATGAATGTCGCTTTTGCCCCAAGAGCTTTGCTACGGCTTTGTTTGTACGGATGGATTCTTACAGTACACATGTACAGGTGATATGGTATGGTGAAATTGGGTGTAGGCCTAGCCAACAGAATTTCTACTAGGAAGGGAAGTGGGTGATTGAAATATGCCTATCTCTTGAATATGAACCTTCATTTCAATTGGCTGATGAATCGATTATACTGGGTATGTATTAGAACCCGTGGACGTCTTCACTCAATCTCGGAAATATATCAATGATGATTCATCCATTTGAAAGCAATATCTGCAATAGCTACCTAGTACTTTGACATAACCTTATTAAGTGACCCTGACCCTTATATTATACTATTCTTTCGTCGATGCCTCTGGTATCTTTGCTTGAAGAATCAATTGAATGACGCTCCGCTGGCCCTCCGGGGGCCACTGCCGTGGGGGCAGACTACCTAGATACGTGATAGGAAGAGGAAATAATACTTTTATATCTTCAACATTTCGAGCGCAGCGAGCTATGGGGGTTTGGGAGCTTGCCCCCATAATAAATACAATTAATACCGACGATGAGTATGATAATATCCTTCTCTATTACTACTATCAAAAAAAAAAGGAACAAATCAAATTTAACTTTGTCATATCACTTTATTCTTCTTTATTTTTTAATCCGTAACTAAAAGAAAAGTTGAGACTTGCTATGACTCGACCAACGCCAAATGCCTCGAGGAGTCAAGACCTTTACGAACGGCACAGTCACAGTGAGACTTGACATTTCATCATTACATCGAATCACACAAGTTATCATTTCAAACACGCTAGGTATAGTCATGGATAACCAAGCCCCTGGGTAAGAGATCTATTCTTGGACTTTTGTGACATGGCAATATCGCAGCATCTTTTGGGGATTTCTATCCTTGGTCTGATCTGACTTGCATCCATCACCAGTCATAGTTTACGTACCGGTGAGAAACTCTCGACCGCAAGTCCAAAGTATTTCTTACTTCTTCATACTTATTCGAAACAAAGTTCCCCTATTTCATCCCCAATACTTGTGTAGAAATGAAACGGCGATTTTATCTTCCAGCTGAACATTTCACATCATCGACATATCACCAACTCATCAGCTCTGATAGCCGTACTCCACTCTTAAGCTCCAGCTCAAAACATCATAAGTTGATAACTACTAGTGCCACGATTCTGCACCCTGATAACCAATAGATCCTTGACCTCAAAGTCTACAGCCATTGGAACAGCCTTGAAGAAATACAACGGACGTATGATACCACTTACGAGGGAGGTATCGGTATTGCCCGGTTTCTTAGAATCATCACGTATTATTTAATCTGTTTCGATATCAAATTCTTGATTCAATGGTGCAGCACAACATAATATCTATTCATCAAACGATGCAACATGATAGAATTCTGCCTAACCACCTCGAGACTACCTCTCTCCTCAAGATATCATGGCTCACCTCCGAAATTTGTACACATATCTCACCCCATCGAAGTGGAGTTCTTCGAGAACAACATAAAGATTACACAGATTTCTTCTTTAGCCTATTGGACTTTGCATTTATGATTACAGCTGAACATCTCAAATAAAATTTGGAATTTTCGTTTCTCTGACCTACAGTAAGTACCTAGGTAGGTAGGTACCTAGCACATATCAAACCCGTTCGTCCGTCCCCCTTTCGAAGCAATTTTTGTTCGTCAAACATCCCTTGAACTCTCTCTCAATGGGGTAATACTGTATTGTACATACATTAGAAAAACCAACCAACGTCGATATGAACATTCCATTCAATAACAATTATCCCATTTTCATCTTCCCTTACCTTGCCTTTTCTTGAAGGATACCTAAATACCTAAATACCACCATGCGTGTCATCCAATTCACCATCCTATTCTTCCAACAACAACAACAACAACCAATCCTATCACCCACATTCAAAATATATTACTCTTCAATCCCTCCAATCCAATCCAATCCAATCACCACAACCTCATCTAAACTCCACCCACAGACATAACCGACCAGTCACCACCAACTCACTACAGAATATATTATATACAGCCATCATCATGTCTATCGTATCGTATGAGTAAACCATAGTAATAAATGAGTGACTCATCCTGACATCTATCATCTATCAATATTCGCGTATTACCTCCCCAGTACCCTAACTAATAGATTATAGATGACTCCCAGGCAATCTAATGATGAACCAACCGCGAATGGAAATCAAGTCGTGGTATGGGTTCGCGGTATAGGTAGCTTGAGATGATGATGATGATGGTGATGGTGATGGTGATGGTGATGGTGATGGAGTTTGGAGAATGTATTGGACTGAGTATGTGTATAGTATATAGTATGCTGAGTGTTTATGTAGTTTTGATATCCGATGTACTTGTTAGTTTTGATAAATAGGTAGGTAGATATTTATTACCGGCAGATGTTTATATACTATATAATTATAGATTTTATATTCGTTTTGTTTAGATATTTAATATATATCTATATTGTAGAATAACGTGGTTTAACAGTGGCTCGGCCATATCAGTGGGTCGGCCACTTTAAAATACATATAACCGATTTCCCTACTACGTGCACGTCCCTGCTATATGCACGATCTTGATCACCCATTTTGAATCACTTTAAAAATTAATAACAATTCCAATTTATAAGATAAAGAGCTAGCAATTTAATTGATAAATGACAAGATATAATACTATCTAAAAACATAATAAAATCTTCAGATTTTGAATTTCGATGGAACTCGTAGTGCTCGCCCTCTACTAGATCGCAATATGACCTCCTCCTCCTTCTCCTTCGAATTATTAGCCTCTACAGCATCAGAGAGCTCTATAGTCTTTGTTGATGTTAGATCTATAGTAGAAGAAGCTTTGGGGAACTTTTTATCTCTTTTGATTGGAGATTTCGTTGATTTTAGAGTCTTTTTAACCTCCTCTTTCGCATCACGTGCAATCTGACGATCAACCTCCCTCTGCAATACTCTCTCTTTCGTCTCAATCTCCTTCCGTTCCTTCTCAGCTTTCTTTTCAGCTTTTATTTGAAGCTTAGCTTCCTTCTCTTGCTCCTCTTTAAGTGCTTTATCTTCTTGATACGCTCTAGCTTTAATAATAGCAGAGGGTGACCATAAAAACGCACCATTCCCCTCCTCTCCAATGAGATTTAAACGCTTTGAACGAGCTCTTTTCCTTTTTTCAAGCTTTAGAGCCTCTTCTAAACCTTTAGATCTATGCCCCTGTATAGAAGCTTCAGCTCCTAATGTAGTTGCAGCCTTAAAAAGCTTTAAAGTGATCTCATGGGTGGGAGCGCGACGAAATTCTAATTTCATTCTACGCATCGCTTTTGACGTATACGGTGTAGCAAGAGCATCCCTGCGAGTTTTAAATGATGTAGGTGGCGTAGAAGGAGCTTCCGGAGCAATACAGTCGATCGTAAGACTCCTATTCATAGGATATATGCCCGTTTTTTCGAAGGATCGTAAGATATTATGCCTCGTACAAGTGAGCTCCCAAGCCTTTTTAAATATGCCCCAAAACATGCGCTTTGTCATACCAACAATTCCCCCGCTATTGTGCATCAAATCATTCAATAATGTACTGTAATTCGTTGAAAGGGCACCGAAGGTTCCAACGTCGAGAGGCTGTAGTCGATGTGTAGAATGAGGGGGGAGAATTAAGACAATAATCTTTAATTCATCGCATTTTGAAAGGAATTCCATATTGACATGACTAGAGTGACCATCGACAATAAGTAGACGATATCTTCCACCTGCTTTTCGACGTGTAGCAGGGTCGAATACGTTTATAAGCCAATATAGGCCAAAAGCATTCGACGACCACCCATTGCTTGAGGCTCCAAAATAGGCTTTATCCTTCTCCCCTACATCCTGAACCCATGTATTTTGTAGATCCCCTGAGTCTCCTTTATAAATAAGAGCGGGAGGGAGAGCTGTCCCATCAGCACATATAGCTGCCAGTAGAGTAATAAACTCTCTTGATCCATCTTGCCTAGCTTTTGTCACTCTGCCTCTATTATAGGCGCTAGCACTCATTATCCTCTTCATAGTCCTCCCCATACCGATCATAAAGCCCTTCTCGTCCCAATTGTATATATCTCTCGGCCGTATATCGTATTTTATGGTCACTTTTATCAACTAAATTAAAAAAAGAGGGGTATTAGCAAGAGCGTTTTAGGTAATAAAGATCAACAACAATAGAAAATAGCTCAAACCAGATCATAAAAGTAATCAAATATAGCAACATTATCGGCTTTCACACGCAAATTATCAATGCAACGGAGATACCGACTTTTAAGACGTGTTGAATGCCTCTTGACAAAATTGCTAGTCCAGTTCTTTCCCACCTCTCTGCCTAGGATCTCTTCTGCAAGGTTTCTGACTATGCGGCTTGTAGGAGGGATAGATCTCTGTGTCAGCTTGTTGATTTGATCAATTAAAACCTCCTCCTGATCACTAGAAAGCGCTTGTTTCGTATCGGAGAGGAACTGTTTTCTCGAGGTGGTTTTACCTCTATGCCGCCGGGAGAGCGTGGATCGATCAATTTTGAAGAAATTAGCTGTCTGGGTGTATTTAGGAGCTTGAACCCCTTTCAAATGATCTAATGCAAGCTCTATACGAGCCTCTAAAGGCATATCATCGATGTTTGAAGCCATAATGTTGATATTTCCAAAGTCGTGCACGTAGTAGGGACGTGCACATAGTGGGGAAATCGGTTAAAATCAGCCTTTTTCAATATTCATATTTTAATTATTAATCATTATTTTTGAAAAAGAAAAGAATATCAAATAATAATAAAAAATCAGTTATTCAAAATAATAATTTTTTTTTCAAATAATTCTTTTCGATTTCAAAAAAAATCAAAATTGTCATGATTTTCGTTACAAAAAAGCTTTTTTTATAATAACTATTTTAAAAATTCTAATTTATTAAAACTAATTAGATTTTTATAATCTATATATAATCAAATATTTAATATTAGATTTTTAGAAAATTGTATCAATAAATAAAGAAAGTGCATGGTTGTGCACAGACGTATTTTGTATGTAAAAATGGTGGCCGACTTACTGATATGGCCGAGCCACTGTTAAACCACGTTAGTACTAATATAGATAAGTATATACATTTATTTATTTATCTATTCATTTATCTATTTATCTATCTATTTATCTATCTATTCATCTATTTATTCATCTATCTATTTATCTATTTATTTATCTATCTATTCATCTATCTATCTATCTATCAAAGATATATTTAAACACTCATATAATATAATAAATACTACACAAACTACCAAATAAACCCCAACCAACCAATCAACCAAATACACAAACCCAGATACTCAAATATCTACCTAACACACATTTCATTTCCACAGATAGTAACTTATAATATACACTCGAAAAATCGCACCCCCAGACAGAATCTCCCTTCCCTTCCCTTCCTCATAATCATCTCTCTCCTCCGCATTTCAGTATTCGTTGCCATATATCATATCATAGATAGCTCTAAAGAGAATAGATGGGTGAGGAGTAGATAGATCTAGGTACCGATTTAGACTCGCTACTAGTAGTATGTATACTCTTCGAGAAACTTTTTATTTATTTGATTTTATAGGTAACCTTACCTTTTCTGTTTCTGATAATGATGGTGATGATGACGCTTGAATCGTTGGGAGGTAGGTACTAGGTAGGTAGGTTGGTTGGGACTCTAAACTGGACTGGACTGGACTTTGGCTCGATTGGTTCGTAATACCTAAAAGCTATGTACCTAGGTATGCGATGGAGAGCAGGATAGTAGGAGAGTAGGATAGTAGTAGGTACCTGCCTAATAGGTAATTTGTGAGTTTGTGTAACCAACTCAATCCAGTCCAATCTAATCAATAGAATAGAATAAAATTAACAAAAAATAATTACTCTGTGCCAGGTCACGGTTCCTATGTAATGTATATACAGAGTAGCTGGGTAGGTAAAATGATATTTGACATGTGATTCTGATCGACCATTTGGCTCGCGCTTGGCATATCCTTGGATGATTGATGTCTTACAAAGTCACAATATGGAAGAATTTTGGGGGGTCTGTGTGTTATACCGTATACCAATACCAGTAGACATATAGTAAAATTACATAAACATAGATACCTAAGTAGGCTAGGTACTATCTCGTAAATATCGGAAAAATAAAAATAAAAATAAATCTCGAATTCCCAATTTCGAATTTCGAATGTAATGCTTTTTCACCATGATATAAACTCGAGATGTGTATCGATATCTTCGATTCCTTTCTATTTATGAAGTATTGAGTACATAGGTAGATATCTATGATTAGGTATAATTATGATTATGATGTATTGATGCAATGATATGATATGATATGATATGATATGATATGATACCGGTATAATCGTTTATCTACTCTATGCTCTATCGTAGCTATGTATGTTCAATCCGACCCAACCTACCCCGCCGCATTCGCATCAAGCAATCAAATCCTAGATAGATACCTAGCTCCACTCCACCCAAGCTCCCTACCCAAATCTAATCTGTCATCGTCTACGATATTAAGTTAGGTATGGTATGGGATGGTATGGGATGGTAGGTGGGACGCACCAAACCCAAGGAAAATAAAATACTGGTAGAAGGAAAATCAAGAAAGTTTAATCCAAGATTTAGGTAGACTTCGATTTTTCCCTACTGTGCTCTAGGTTACTATTATGGGGTGGGGTTACTAGAAAATTTATTTGTTATGGTATGGTATGTGTTTGGTGGGTTAGGCATACTGTTTTGTGCTTGTAGGGAAAAGCTAATGAAGATAGGGTATTAGGTAGGTACTAGGTGGTTCGGGAAATGGATGTACTGGAGATTGAAGTTTGGGGATGGAGGGGAATGCGATGGAATGGAGGAGGGGACACGGGAATTAAGGGTTCTTGCCCTTATCTCGTGATTTTTGGGGAGGGGGATTGATATGATATCGTTTTGCTATCGTAAGGTATTGGTAAAGTATCGTAAGAACACCATCAAATCATCCAATAGTGGAAGAGAAAGAGAAAGGAAATACATATGTGTGTACGTAGTATAAGTGAGTTGTAGATTGGTGAGGTGGCATTTTTTGAGTGTGGGGAATGGAGGGGTTAACGGTTAGTGATGGGTAGAGGGAGGGAGAGGATATCTATGGTTACTATGTTATGATACTCGAGTATGGTATGATTTTTGGAAATCGGGATTAGGGATTGGGACTGACAAAAGAAGAGGGGAAGCTCTTGAGAAAATGCCGGGGTAGGGTTGAAGCGGCCCGAATGTGGATGAGGGATGGGTGGTTGAGTTGAGCTTGCGATGAGATTGGGTAGGGATAGAGATGGGAATAAAGGATGGCTGAGTGGAGTAAATGAGTAGAAGGGCAAGTGCCCTAATTTGGGGTTGTTTTGTTGAGGGGTTGATCTGGATTGGATTCGATTAGATTGATCGGAATCGAATCGTGGTTGGGGATTGAGGATTGGTGGTGGGGTGTGGTGGGAAATGAGATTACTCCCGGTGAGTACCGTTATCTTGATATGGTTGAGAAATTGTTTTATGGTATGTCGGGTAATTTTGATAGGTAGGTTCGAAAATCTTCGGGTGGATGTTGGTTGGAAGATTGAATGAGAGGCGAAGATGGAAGGATTTGTATCGAGGCCCATGAGTATAAAGTTATGTTCATTGCACTATATGTAGCAAAATTACGAAGTTCTAGTGGACTCCTAACATCATAAGAATTTGTTGTTAATTCATCCATGAGTTTCCTTCTACTCGTTTCTCTACAATCATTTGTCTTCGCTGTTTTCTGTTCACAGTCTCTCTATCTCTCCTCCTGCTTGCCCAGAAATAATGATTCTTACACACTGGGCATTCATCCCCTCAAGAATAGAATAGTATCACCACTACCTACTTGATATCACAAAATGGTCAGAGAAATTCTGAATACTCCTGATTCGTATTGTTGGCATGGAATCATATAGTATCGGGATGATAAAATGTCCCTGTCCCTAATACATACATGAATATATTCAACCCGAATATCTAAACATCGCTTCTCGTAGGATGGCGTGCTCATTATTTACCTACCTACTTTCTGTCATTTGACTCCTTTTCTGGAGAAGATGTTTCGTCGGTGACTCATATATCACGTCATGTATGTATGTATGTATATATGTATGCATGGAACTCTACAGGTTATGGAGACTAGAAGAAACTTGTTATATAGAATCTCATCGGTTCTTGGGGTTGAATTATTCGCTGAGCTTGATGTTACATATCACATGTTATATACCATGTATCGTGTTGAAAACTCGGGGCTCATTCGGAATTACGAAGTTGGTGATTAGCGTACATTCATCTAGTGATCTGTTCAGTACTATTGCAAATCAGTTCTGTGCGGCGGCATTTTGGATAGTGTTAAAAAATGAAATAGGTTTCTTGAGTTGTGGTGGGCTTGGTTGTTGCTTTGAGTGATGATATAACTATAATACTCTGGAGAGGGAATTATTAGATATCGGGGTTGATATCTCGATGTGATGAATAGGAGGTTGTGATGAGCTGCTGGGAATAGAGGAAGAACTAGAGTACGTCAGCTCGTCTGCTACTGTAATGAAAGGATATTCTAGGTGTTTAAAAATCTATCCCGTATTGTTTTGAGTGGAAAGCTCGAGGTAGAACTTGTTGGCTTCTCGTTCGTGAATGGGATTATCTTGTTTGCGGAAGATGGTCTTTTGAGTATTGAGAAGGGATTCGAGGAATGCTAATGGGTGAATCTTAATGGGTTGGTGGTTGGGAGCTTGAGGCTGTATATTAGAGGAGAGAGTAAGTTTATCTAACTTTTAATGCCCTAATACACCCTCAATACAATATCACAGCGCGCCTTCGGACATCAGCACGTTTGAGTACCTAGACTTCAAAGCATTAATAAACAGTATTCATCTGGCGGCAGAGCATGTCTTTGTGATTGACAAGCAGCAGGAAGAGAGATGAATGAACAATGGGCCGGTATATTTTGACAATAACGAAAAAGGAGGAAAATTGGAGATGAAGACCCCCAAGAGACGAAGAGCATGAGAAATAATTAACCTTTGAAGAAATGAATGAGGCCGAGAAAGAAAAGAAACAGCGCGGGAAGAAGAATAGAGAAACGGGGAAGAACATGTGACTGCAAGCGCAGACGCGAAACTCGCGCTCACAGAAATAAGGAGCAAGGTTCTGAAAGCGAAAGTTGTCGCAGGGCTACGAATAATCGAGTACTCGCTGGAAGCAACAAAGGTCGACCCCTCGAAGAGCGACAGGCTGCCAGCGAATATGTCTAATTCTAGGCGGAGAAAGAACGAGGGAAATGATTGTGTAGAGATAGAGAATGGATGGGTCACTTACTAAATAGGGATTATCGTTATAACTTAGATGAGACTGTAGATACTTGGAGGAGATACATCTCCTGGTATATAGTCATGAAATAGTTGAGTGGTATACCCATCGATGGGTTACTCTTCTCAACGGCCCCTGAGACTTCTCTATAGTGTGGATCATATCGAGACTTTGCGGTGTATGTGGCGTGGAGTACGTGGGATAGAGTAGGACATGAAACAACTTGGGAGTTTCTTTAGTTTTTTCCTTTTTGCGATGGAATGAGGGCATAGGTGTGTTTCCATCTTTAAAATGTATCCTGTTCATGACTGTAAAGTGATGATTCATAGATAGGATATGATTGATTCATACGAGATTCTCTTCGGAGTCACTGATATTTTGATAAACATAAAAGGATCGAGATTCGCAGATTTGAAAAGGCTTTTCTTGACATTTTGTTTTCTCTTCTCTATCGTAGCATCACACATCTTTCCACAGACCTCTACATTATACAGATTCTTCTCAGAGACATCTATATTTACAAGCATCATAAACATTAAGCAGCCATGCCACCTCTAACTCGAAATTTCTGGAACCAACCTTGGGCCAGCTACAACACGGCATTGAAGGAGTGCAATCACTGTCAACTAACATTTACACTCTACAACTGCGGCTGTGTCAGAATGACTCTCCCACATTTCGGCAATGATCCCCTCAGCAAATCATGCCAAATTCATCCTCCTTCCGACTATTCCTCCAAACCCAAACCGACCACAAGACCCAAGATTTTCTACAAGCGAAAAAATTCCGGTTGTGGAAGAGTCAATGAAAAGGATTGCAAATGGAATGCGAAAAGAGAAGAACAATGTTCATATGATCCCAAAACCCGTCGAGATTGCGAAAGCTATGTTGATATCTACATAAAATGTACCCATGTAGAAATAGGCATTGTGCGAAAGTGTCAAAGTGAAGAGCATCGTCGTAATCGTGGAGAACCGCTGAAACATATGCCACAAATTGTTGGCGGTATTGTGGACAAATTCTGCAGTCAAGAATGTGCAGATAAACAAGCAGTTCTTGATGAGGAACAACGAATTTTGGAAGAGAAAGCCTGTAGAAGAAGTGAGAACGAGGCTCAGGCAAGGAATGAAGAGGAAAGATATTCTAGGTTTGACATGCAATACAAACAAAACCGAGGTACCCAAAGACCTCGCAGCGATAGGCCAACTGATGATAGTGCTTCGACGTCGTCGACTTCCTCGGGATCGTCAAGTTATCAGTATTACCGGTATACTGATGCTCAGCTTGAGGAAATCGCGCGGCATACCACTCGGAAATACAGACATTAGCGAGGAGACGAGGCGATGGGTTCAGTTGACTGTTTCACTATGAGACTTGTAGATGGTTGTTACTTTGTAAGTTCGGCGAGTATAAGTCAGTCATGTAGATGGCTTGTGAATGAGATCAGCATGGATAGATTGCTATCATTACCCGATTCTAGGATATTTTGTGGCATTGGTAGTATCAGGGAGTGTGGGAGTTTGATGTGGAATTTAGAAGATGGCTCTGGGCTATTCTCTATTTGTTACTTGGGGGATTTGGGGAAAGGTTCGGTATGAAACCTAGGGTTAAGTAATCGAGGAGATCTAGTTATCTGGTGGGTACGGGGTTTTATGAGTTGAAGCAAGACATAACTCTGTATGTTCAGGCTATATGAGTGTTTGTCGGGTGCAGACTCATAAGTTGAATCATTATGGAACATGTATTTTTTGTCTATCTGAGAGTCACTCGGGATAGGCTCAGGAGAATATGTTCAAAAAGATTCATATTTCCAACTTGGAGATTCTTTCCTGTTTCTTCTTTACATTACCAATGCGAGAGCTTTTAAAAAAAATTTACATCATCTTTTGATCTTTTGAACTAAGTTATCAACACTTCAAGTATTTCTATTTCGAAATGCCCCGTTACTCCGAAAGCACCCGTGATTCCCAGTACGATAATCCGCAGCAACAACGACAACGTCAAGGCACAATCAACAAAGAACAAAGAGAAGCTATGCGTAGAGAGAACGAGAATAGAGAGAGAGAGAGAAATATGAACAGAGGAAAAAAGAGGAACGTCAATATGGTCAAGCTCGAGCTGATGGAAGGGTCGATAGAGGAAAAGATCGTTCCCGAGGCGGGAAAGTCAGTGAACGTAATTATGGAAAGACTTATTCCGGAGAAATGGGCGGGAAGAGAGGCGTTCGTTGGAAATAGATGTTTTGAGGGGGTTTAGGCGCAAGGAGGTTGTTCTAATATGCGGCGTTTGATGACGCAAGTTGAAGGTTTCTTTGGTTTCTTTAGTCATATGTTTTACGCTTTTGATGGGAATGGGAAATCTGGCACGACTCTATCCTAAGAGAAATATCATACCAATGACTGCAAAGTACAGAGGTGTATCAGTTGACTCAAAATGTGATAGGTTATTAGAATCATATTCATAGACAAGGGTTTCTTGAGTCTTGAGTCTTAGTTGGGAATCATCTTGGAGGGTTCAAACGGATATACTTCAAAGGATTCAGATTTCCAAATGGGAGATTCTTTCTCACATATTATTACATTACCAATACGAAATTTTTTCGAAAATACTTCATATTCTTAAATCCTTAAACTAAGTAAACAACAATAAACATTCTTCCATTCAAACGAAATGGTCTACTATTCGTCACGCTCCATCTCCCAGAACGAACACTAAAATGATTACCGACCGCAGACTACCCGAGCATCTGGCTACTCTGCACCATATCTATCTCCCCCACAGAATCCCAATACCCCCTCCCGCGATCCGCAAAACGATAGCCGTAGAACTTATCCTTCCCAGCCCCAGAAGCCAATCCAGCGCTCCTACTCGCCTCTCCCAAAACCACCTATAGGATCAATCCCAATCTCACGTGCGCCTTCAACAACACCTCCAAGACCGCCTCTTCGTGCCCAAACACATCCATCTGCTAATCTGTATGCTCGTGGAAATAGCACCCTTCGCCGCTCAGAAAGCAGAAAGTCAGAAGGGAACTCCAAACAGGAAAATCGAGAAAGATCTGCCAGAAAGGGAGTTCAATATGAAGAGCTGAAGAGAAATAAGGAGCGGAATAAGAAGGCAGATAAGAGATGGGAGGAAGAGGATGTAAAGACTCAAGGTATATACAACTTTGAGAAAGAAAAATTAGATTATCGAAGACGAGTGGAGCGAGATTGTAATCGACCGGTTGACAGACCAGATGTGAGGTCTAGTGGTGCTGTTAGTAGAGGCTTTCACAGGTATGCAGAGCGAGGGTATTTAGAGAAGAGAGTCAGCTGGAAGGGACGGGCTTTTCGAGAAGAGCAGCGTGGTTAGTTGGTTGTGGGATATCCATAGCTTGGTAAGTTTTTACGCACCGTAGGCGTTTGTTTGATATGCTAACTGAACGAATTGCTAAAAGTCTACTTTCTCTAGGGACTCTCTTCAGGATATAGATACTCAAGGTACGTCTTGATATGCGGTATAAATTGACACGGTTTAGGGATTTATTTTGTTTCTTTAGCCATTTTATTTTCGAAGTTGGAAGAAAACAATTGGGCATTGGAATCATCTTCAAGAGATATCATATGAATACCTGCAAAATACGTACTCGTGTTCAAAACGATAGGCTCAATATGTAACATATTCATGATTAGGAGTCATTTTGATGTCTGGATTGGGACTCGCTGGTTCGAGTGGTCTTTTTCTTACTTCCTTTTTGTTTACCATTCAACTTTACTTTCGGTGCTTTAAAATATTAAGTCTTTTTGAAACTTAACACTTTAATCTTCTATCTTCTAATAACGTTAGAATTTTGTGGCGAATATTTAAGATGTCTTATACAATAGACTTCTTACCAAGTGTCGCACATATATGATTACCTTCTGTGTCGCAGTTGTGAATATATCACAATTGAGCTATCACAAATCCCAAATAATATGCCTTACATAAAGATGACTGATGTACAACCACTCTTGAACTTTTGTTCAGAAGGTGATGACTCCATCTCTGAGTTGGGCGCTTACTATGCCATGACTGTCAAATGCAAAGTCTTACTAGGCTTGACTGATTTGTTCTGGATTATTTCTGTATGAGTGTCATTTTTATTAGATCACTGGAATGTTTATTATTATCCAACAGTCATTTGTAGTCTTGGAGCGGGTTATAAGGATTCAGGAACGCTGGTTTGGGGGTTTTTCTTTCTTTTCCTTTACATCAACAACTCAAGTCTATCTAAATACTTGATCTGAGAATTTACGCGTGTTAAATGCCACAGAATAATCAAGAAACATATCTCTATTCAAAAAATGGCGTACAACAGCGACAGAAACCGACTCATCCGCTACCAGTCTGGAGAGTTCGTTCCCCAGGCGTCACAAACAACTCCAAATTTCTATCATTCTCCTTCATATAATCAGCACACAACCCAATACGTTACCCCAGCGCCGCAGAGTGACGCAAATACCCAATGGTCAGATACAAGTTCTACCACGAACTTGTCTGAAACAGCATCTATATCAAGGTCAGAGAAAGAGAGGCTGATTCGCGAAGACACAGAGAGGGATCGCCGACATTGTAACAAATGGAAGGAATGGGCCCGTAAACAGGATGAAGAAGATAGACCAGCATTGAAATTTGCAGTCGAGAATGCTCGTAGAGAGGAGTATAGATGTAAGCTCGAGGCATTGGATAGACAGACGCGGGAACGTGAGAAACTAAAAGCGAAGACTGATAGGGATTGGAGGGTTCATTTACAGAGATTGGAAGCTGATGAGCAGTCGGAAGCTGATAGGCAAAGAAGGTATTCTGACAGACGGGCGAGGTTACGCACAAGTTCCTCAAACAACAATCACTCGAGAAGGGAGCAAGCCACTAGATACGCGTCGGGAACATCAGGTCAACGACTTCCCTACACGCCTTTGTCGGATGAAGCCCTCATTGGTATTGCAAAGGAAAGCGAGAAGAGAAGTAAACGCAGATACTAGATATTACAGGTAGAATGCTGAGTCGAGAAAGGTATGTGGTTATTCACTATTACTAGATGAATGGTGCTGACAGTGATTAGCATAATTCAGCCAGTCAGGGCTTTTGAACGATGGTGGTTGGTTGGGGATGATGTCAATATTTTTGGGATTTGGGAGTAGATTTGAGAAGCTTTACAGGTATTGAAGAGGAACTTTCATGTGCATTACGAGAAATAAAATACGTTCGAATGCGCCACGTTTTACCAAAGTGAATGAGCATGTATCATACAATTAACCGGTGATGACAATTCAAGCAGAGGACGATTAAGATCTTGACAGATAGTGAATATGAAAGTAGAGAATATTTGATAGATTGAACGATTACTTGCTATCCTTCAATCTATTGACCTCAAGAAAATTTGAGTTTATGCTTGCTGAACACCTTTCCTCGGTAAAGATAGGAGAGACCCTGCATCTCATTCGACGCAACCATCAATTTTCAATACTACGTCGACTTCCTTTCGAGCATGTTTCAAATCATAGTCACAACATCACTAATGGTTGCGTAGTTGATTCAGTCACTCATATAACAATTAAGGAGTCATTATGGATTGTGCTTTCGATTCATAAAGAGACTTTTAACATTCTTTTGGAGTTAATATGGTGGATACTGAATCCTTATAAAGGGCTCAGCTCACCCTAGACTCTATTTTTTTTTCTTTGAATTCTCTTCATACTGACAACACACTTCTGTCTATCAAACTTCAAATCGTTTACATTACATATTTCTTGACAATACACCACCACTCAATATCAAATAGTCATGTCTCTTAAGAACTGGCCCGAGGAAACGTATCCTGGCTGCGATGTGAATTTGCCAAAATGCAAAACATGTATATTACAGTACTGGATCTATCTTTGTGGGTGTACCGAGTTTACCTGCCCTGATGTTCCTGATATTAGTGTAAGGGGTAGCTGCATGACATGCTATCAGTACCTGCCCATTGACAGAAAGCCGGAGCCGACTACAATACCAAAGATCAAAAGCGATATGATATTCGCTACTTGTGGAAAAGAAAAATGTGTGGAGAAGTCTCAGCTTCCACCGTGCCGAAAATGCACAACTGAGATCATCATCTACAAATGTGCACACTTGAAGGTCAATAAATCACCCCGGTGCAATAGATGCCGTTCTAGCAAGAGCAAATATCCCAGCAGTCGACCAGAGCTACGATATACACCTCACAATGAGAACCCAGAGGGCGGCATGGTCTGTGATAATTACTCGGACCACGAGGAACATCGAAAAAAGCGAAAAGAGTTGCTTTCACAGAAAAGAGTACCAGTTTTTTCCAACTCTCGACCCTTTCAGCCAAAGAGCCACAGATAACTAGCTCCTGACTATCCCAGAATTCCGGATGCTACTTTCCGGAGACCAACGGTAATAATACAGCAAGAACCACCGCTACCGCCATATCATGGTCATCAATATACATATCCACGAGAACGTGAGTCGGTGCCCCAATACAATCATACACCGGCGATGACATCGAATCATGAGCCTATACCATCACCCTATGGATGTTACGGATATACGCCGGAATATTCGCATGGGCAGCCAAATTCCTAGTATTTTCCTATCCCTGGTTCTGCGATACCACCAGCTTCAGAAGAGTCACTACAACCATTGATAATAGACGAAGATCCACGAAGATACGCAAATTTGCGGAAAGAACGGAAACGAGAAGAAGTCCGTTTCAGCGGGGCGGCCGACAGAATAAGTACCGAGGATGCTGCCCTTTATGAATCAACCTTACTCCGAGGAAGAGCACGTCCGAGGCAGCACAAAAAATCGAAACAATGGTCAAGCTGCCATAGCAGACAGTCGTCGAGCGATGAAGCGTACTTAGACGAGTAGCCACTTTCAGCAGAGTCCATATTACTGCTTGTGGAATACATTTCTCCGTGAGTTCCTTGATGACTCCATACGCCCTAGAAAAACATTACTAATTTACTGTCACCGTTTGAGTTTTGCTTAAGGGGAGATGACTGCACCTTGGAGGAAGTTGTATAATAGTGTGAGTCTGCACTACACAGTCATGATATGGTATTAACTGAATCATTATGGAATATGTTTCTTTTATTTGGAAGTCACTTGGAGTCTGGAAAGACGGTTATATGGGTCGAGGTCTGCGTTTTGGGATTTCTTTTCTTCTTCTGTTTTCTATCAACAATACAATTTTACTTTCGTTGCTTTCAAATATCACATATCTTTTGAAACATACCTATCTTGAAGTACCCCTTGTGTCAAACCTTGTCATGTCAGAAGGACCTCCAGGCACGTTCGTTAACAGTGGCTCTATCGAAGAGAGAGAAGCCTGTGCCTCCGTTCCACGGAATGGGCAGCTGCCAACATGCCAAATTTGCCACATACACTACGAGTTCTATACTTGCCAATGCCACGGAGTATATTGTCCTGTATGGGCAGCGAGCGAAGAGAGCTGCACGACATGTATTCCATCGGAATATAGATATGGACAACTAGAGCCAACTACCATACCCAGAATCACTGCAAATCTAGGAGCGCAACCTTGTTCAAAATCCGATTGTGTCAGGCATTGTGAGAAGAAAGTGTGTCAAAATGACAGGGCTGGTGGACAGTGCAAGACTATAATCTCTGTCTACGCGTGCGGGAATATTGAAATATATACTCCTAACTTATGTATATGGTGCAACAGTACTTATGCGGATACTCGGCCGAAAACCGAGTTGCAGATACATACCGGGATTGATGGAGTCTGTAACGACTATTCCCAACACGAACACGAGCGAAGGAACGACAGCGAGAGCCGGTCGCCCAAATAGAGGCTTCGAATAATAGAGTTCTAGAATGGAGACGTGAAGAAAGACGACAGAGACATGCCAATAGAAATCAAAGGCAAGATCCACATTCCAAAAAATGAAAATGGCGAGAAGCTAACAGTATTGAGTGGCTTGAATAGATCTAGAAGGGCTCAAGCATCTACATCTGCATCAGCATCATCTAGAAATCACCATTCCCAACATAGATATCGAGGATCGGTTTCGCCACGAGACTCCGGTTCTAGTCGCAGCCAAGCTTTGTAAGTGGCAGAGCCGAATTTACCAGTATCGTATGACATCGATAGCCAAAAATGACAGAACTTGCCGTGTACATGTGGGCTATATTTGGGGTATCTATATTGATGCTTGCTGAAAAATTCTAATTGGTGAGTAACCCTATCTCATATAATTTGTGTAACATATAGTGCTAGATACTGACTTGCAGATACCCGCAGGTACTCCCATCTCCGAAACTCGAGATCGTCTGTCTGGTCGTGCACTCGAGTCATATCTTATTGCTTTCTACTAACATGACTTGATACCCATTTTCCCACCACTTTTCCTCGCCAGCAAAATTCATGAGGTTCTGAATCGGAACGGGCTCCTGGTTCACATCAATTTTATCTTCCCATTCATGTCCATTTCTTTGGAAGGAGTTTTCTTACTATTTCGCTGCTCTATGAAAGATCAAATTTTCTTTACCGTTTCTTTGGGAGGAGTTCCGATCATATTGTGTTTTAGAGAGGAGGTTACATTTCATTTGTCCTTGGCGTCATTCGCTCAGAGATGGTTCGAATAGCAGGCTATTGTAAATTGAAGTCAAATCGTATCGTTGTTTTTACTTTATCCATGAGTCTTTATATTTTTGCGTGATACTGACTGTGCATCTTTGAACGTTGATTTTCTTGTCACAATGAAACATGCAGGTGTGAATACAGATGTGAAATTAATGTCTGAAGAATTGTTACCGTCCTACCATCCAATGAAAGGAGATCCCATGATGCAAACCGATATGTATACATTCCCTAGCCCATCTCATTACCACTCAAAAATACCCCTGAATCTTGAACTTACTATCCTTTCCATCATTATGATACTTTTCATAAAGAAAATTTGCACCCACAACCGTCAAATTTTCCCTCCCAGCCCATTCTCTGATCCCACTCCCTGGTTTTTCGAACCCCCAATGTTTCCTCTCCTTCGGTCCCTCCAAATCCACATTATATCCCTCTAGCAATACAAATACATATCTATGTTTTCCTGTTCCTTTTGGTGGCGCTGGTGCTTTGTCTATTTCTTCAAGTCAGCATACCCTATCTTTCCTCACACGTCCCACTTAATTAAAAAGCAAAATAACAATAAAGAAAAGAAACTCACAATCGACAATCCCCACCTCCTCCAACTCACTCCCACTCCACTCTCCACTAATCCCTTCCCTTCCAACTACAGCCTCAGGAATCCTAGCAATCCAATGACACATCTCAGACATGCTATCATCATCCCTCGAAGGTGCATCTGGATCTGTAAGAATAACCGTTAAACCGCCCTTAACATGATATTTTCCAGGACAGAAAACTTTGATTGAGGGCGCGGATTGAGTCTGCGAGGGGCGGAGTTTATTGCCCAATTTTACTTTCTTTGAGGAAGACGAGGAAGAAGAGAGGTTATAAGAGGGAAGAATATAACAAGTGGGGATAAAGGGATCGAGGACATCGGGAATGATGGATGATTTTTTGAGACTGGCGATCAAAGTATTAGTTAGCATGGTGAGGATTTTAACATCAGGTTGAGGACGACAGATACGGACGTTTTCTTAATTCCTTTCAAGGGCTCAAGTTTCCCAGTACATAGTCCATTAGATCCAGAAATATCATAGTCATACGATTCTGGGGATAAAACAAGTGCGGAGCTGAGCTCAATGAAAGCTGGTAGGAGAAGCGTGAGGGACGTAAGTAATTGCATTTTAGCTATATGAATTGGATTATTTGGGATTGGTTTTCTGCTTGCAATGTAAGATATTTTTGATAAATGAACAGAAAGAAATTGACATTGAAATCATACTACTTTAAATAGACTTTCGATATTGTAGCACCCGCTTGGCTGGGCAGACGTTGCCGATGACGTCGACCTGCTCAAAAGCGAGGGGTAATCACGTGAAATCTCTCCAAATGGCGATCACGACGTCGACGCAAGAATTATTCTCAATAGTAAGGAGCTCTTCAAGATGTATGCAAAAAGAATACATGGACCTCTGAATTGAGGAGCGTCGGGAGGAGAATATGAAGAAATGATATACCTGTATTCTAGTTCTTGCTCGTGGTGGATCTTGTCCATGACCGGGAAAACTCCAGATCCCGATTAAATCGTCATTTTGAGTTTTCAACATTGGATTGGCTGGCATATTGTCAGATGTGAAGATTATTTGATATCAGTGTAGTTAACTTTTTCTCACGTCAAAGATATATAATGAAAGATAAGTCCTAAAAGGTAAGATGACTCGTATATATGGGTGAAGAATAAAATGGTCATGAATTATTTACTTGATCAAAGCCACTGGAAGAAAACAGCTTCGATACCTCTAAGTTTTAAATGATCTTTCAAAGTCGATCCCCGCATTACGCCAATCATCCATGAATCATACATATCTCGAGGCTCATTACATGATCATCTATGAGATTTCCTTGACACGGCATTTCCATCCGGAGCCAGCCTCAAGTAACGGAAGACTATTAAGTATTAGATATTGCATCAAAGGGAGAGAGGAAAAGGGATAAAACATACCTAGCACCGAGACACCATCCAAGCTCATTGCCCTTGAGCTTCTTTGCAATCTTGACCTCTCTGTCAATTGGCATTTCATAACCAGTGTGCAACAAAGCCATCATGAAGTTCAAATCAAGACACCATTCGGGTCTATCTCTCAGCTCCTTTATGGCATCAGGGATACTAGTAAACATGTCCCAGTGAGATTCGCCGCCACAAACTTGGCTGGTAAGATCGTGCATCTCTCGTAGAGTGAAGGATTCTGGCATTCCGAGAGGATCGGTACGGTCGAAGAAGTATGAGAAGGTGTAGACGTCCTCATGTTGGAAAGTCTTTTCAAGGGAAGGCTGATGCACACCATTGAAAGAGCAAGGTGCAACTTTACATTCGGCTTCTTTATACAACATCTTCTCTGCGAGTTTGCGGCATTGAGCTGGTGATGGGGAAGAAGGACCTTTCATGACGAATTCGTTCTTCTCACCCAACTTAGCACGAAGAGGATGTTTCTCATCAAATGCAATATCAACTGAACGGTTCATGCCTGGTGCAATACAAGGATTGATGATTGGCGATGCGGTCCAGGAGAGGTCTGAAGGATTGGCTGCGTGAATATCATCGATGAGAGTCTTGTGAATTGTTTCACGGGCTGCCATTAGACCATATCCCAAATGAGAATGCTGGTATAGCTCAAAATCTCTTCCGCCAAATGTAAGCTTGTATTTATGGTCACCTTCCGCCATCTTCTCGGGTAGTTTGAACTTTGGTTCAAAGACAACTTGGGTCGAACCTCCACCAAGATCGAAAACTGCTGCAGTATCTCCAGGAGCTGGACCTCCAATGTTACCAAGTAAGAAGTTGGTTGTGATCCAAGCGTAGACACCCTCATCAGTACCATCCATAACTTGGACTCCACCCTTTTCGTCGGATACAACCGCGAAAGGATAGACAGTCTCCAATCTGGTACGAACAGCCTTGAGAATATTGTTGCTCAATTCCGGGCCAAGTTTTCTTAAACCAGCAGTAGCTTTGACAGCCACAGGAGTACAAGACTTAAGTGCATCGGGGACAGTTTTCACTGCAACATCCATAAGCATATCGAGACTCTTTGCAGCACCTTCAGCATCAGATCCATAAGAACTCAATCCGGAGCCGCCCTCTTTCTTTTCAGTCATTTTGAACTCCTCAGACTCCAACTCTGGTGTAGGGCCGCAGTTATTAAATTTGTATACGTGAACTCGAGATCCGGTACTTCCAGCATCAATCATGATGGCATATTGAACAATCGGCTTCGACTTGCTGTAGGATTTCGAGCACTTCGTTGTCCCATAAGTCGAATCAGATGGAGATTGTCCATCATTACTACCACTCTTAACTGTATCGACAGCACCTTGGACAGCACCTTCGACAGCACCGCCAACTGTTTATGTTAGAAAATGATATATAAGGATTTTTTATTGTGACATACCAGTGCTTGGTACCTGCGTACCGCTTGGAGACAGATAATAGAACAGGAAGACTACGAAGAGCAGGATTCCTCCTGTCTTCAAGTATCTGGACCGCTGACTTTGGGTCATTCTAGCGTTCTTTGATTTCTCCAGTTTGGAAGCGGCGCTTTCGTTTGCGCCCGAATTACTATATCTTGCAAGCTTCTCGTGAGGGTCGTGTGATGTACTCTTCGATGGGAGAGAGACAGAAGTACGTCGCATCTGCGAAAGAGCGACTATGAATGATAAGTAGAACTAACCACCTAGACTAATTACCAACTCAAGCCAAGTAAATATAAACTAAAAAAAAGCGAGTGAAAAGTCTGGTAAGAGAAAGGATTGGTGAAGTTCCAGATCCTATTACTTAGGTATACTTTTAGGGAATGAGAAAAGAACAAAGCTGTTCCCTTTTTAATTTCATAAGAATAAATTTAAGTAAGGGCAGAAAATGGAAATGAGAAATAGGGGACGTTTTGCCTTCTATCCTTGCATTGGATTTGAGTGCTGTGGCTAAACTTGGGATTGCGGCGATGAGTGATTGGTTGACGTGTTGTTAATTAGAGTGAAGGGGCTTGTGGAGGTGTGGAGATATCAACGCCTTAATGATAAAGATTTTTATTTAAGTTTGAAGCTTATCGAGAAAAGCATGATGGAGAAAGTGCTTAGTCACAATCGAGACACTTGAGGCAATCCCTTCAACCGCGGGGTTCTTTTATCAATATATTAATGACACCCCCTGACCGTGTTTCTGAAACATCGTCAGCTCGAAGTTGCCTTCGGTGATAAATCTTATGTCTTTCATTCATAGAATGATATAGAACAATTACTATACCCTACATGAGATCCTTGATGATGCTACCTCAATAAATCCCCTAAGTTTAGTTTCTCTTATTTTGCTTTTCTCTTTCCTACCACTTTCCTCTCTGTCTCTCTCTTCTACTAACCTGTGTCTCTCCCCTTTCTACCCAACACGCTCAAAAAATCACAGCAACAGAATAATGAACGTTCAGCTATATGTCTATGATCTGTCGAAGGGCCTAGCGCGCAATCTGTCAGGAGCTTTATTGGGAGTCCAGATTGACGCTATCTACCACACCTCTGTTGTTTTCGAGGGCATTGAATATACTTACGATGGAGGGATCAAAACTGTTAAGCCTGGCGAAACTCATCTGGGTAAACCATTGCAGATCATAGAGTTAGGGAAGACGGATCTACCCATGGATGTGATTCTGGAATATCTGGACTCTTTGAAAGAAATCTACACCTTTGAGGTAAATTCTTCTACGACTTCGAACCTTGTGTCATAAGCTAATTGCATGTAGGCGTATGATCTCTGGAAACATAATTGTAATAACTTTTCGAACGATTTTGCTACATTTCTGGTTGGCCAGGGAATCCCCGAGCATATTACGAACCTCCCGGAAACTGTTCTCAACACTCCCTTTGGCAGAATGATTCAACCGCATTTCGACGATTATGTTACTTTGAATAATATGAACAATGGCGGCCTGTTGGGTATTCAAAATACAGAGGATCCACAGCAGCAAGCATCGATGTCACAGGTTCGACATGCTCAAACTTCTGCTGAATTGAACAATCTCTTGACCTTAGCCAAGAAGAAATGCGCAATCATTTTCTTTACTTCCCATAGTTGCGCTCCATGCAAACCTCTATATCCTGTCTTTGAGCAGCTCGCAAAGGATGCAGGACGCAAAGCCGTTTTCATAATAGTTGATATTGCCCGGTCATATGAGATTGCCACAAGATACAGTGTTACCGCGACGCCATCCTTCGCAACTTACTTACAAGGTGAGGAGGAAAAACGTTGGGCGGGAGCGGATGTAGCAACTCTACAAAGAAATGTAGGGCTTCTGGTACAAATGGCGTTCCCGCCACATGCACATGAGTCTTTACGTTTACCAGCACTTCGTGCACCAAATACGTTGCCAGTTATTTTTACTAAAGTTCCGCCACTTGAAAAACTCAAAGCAAAGATGGGACCTGCTGCTGATGTTCCAGCAGTCAAAGGGGTTCTTCACTTTGTATCAGAGGGACAATCAAAGCCCGCAGCACAGACTCATCTCCCGGATCTGGATGCTTTCAGTTGGTTTTTACGAGAAGCTCCTTCTAAAGTACCCACTGAAGTCTTGTTTACAATCGTTGATGTCCTTCGATGTGCTCTTGTGGATCCAAGACTAAGTGGTTACTATGCCGAGGAAAAGAACCATAAAACTATTGCTCCACTATTCTCACATATCAATAGTCTTAAAGACTGTCCCTATTCACTCCGTTTAGTCGCACTTCAAGCAGGTTGTAATCTATTCACAAGTCCCTTATACCCTCAACACATTCTCGGCTGTCCGGCCCTAACCAACCCACTCGTTCAACTAATCACAACCTCGCTGCTTGATGATGCACATCATAACGTTCGTGTTGCAGCCGCAAGTCTTGCCTTCAATATGGCATTTGCCAATTCTAGTCTCCGTATAGAAGATCACAAAGAAGTATTACCAGAGAGCGAACAAATAGAACTTGCTGCATCTTTACTAGAAGCCATACAAGAAGAGAAAGAATCACCAGAAGCATTGAAGGGATTCTTATTGGCGTTTGGACATTTGGTGTTTGGAACCCTGAAAGATGGAGAGTTGGTGGATCTATTGAAGAGTATGGACGCCCAAACAACCATCCTGAGTAAAGCGAAGGCTTTTCCTAAGGAAGGCTTGATTAAGGAGATTGGACAGGAGTTACTTGGGAAGGGCTTGGAATAGGCGTGCTTGTTTAGATATCTGGTGTTAATAGGGAATAGACTAAACAATATACCATTTTTCCTAAAATTGCAAGCCAGCACTTCATGTGTTCATTCTTTTGTGATACTCTGCTTCGGCATTGGTAAGGAAGTGGAAAACTTGGAAGTTTAGCTCGAGCATGGATACGATGTTCCGTAGACATAGGTCATAACCTTTTGTCGACTCGGTGCATAGTCTGCAGTGTAGAATTCCGAGCACAAGAATCAATAGAGATACGTACAAGATATTGATATGCCAGATTAGATCACATTTCAATTTCCCTACCATGAAAGCCGTATCCATAGATTATCCTCCGCAATCGTGTCTTCCCGTTGTTTTCTTTTTCTTATACCACTTTCAAATTTGCATTATTCCAAGGTAAAGTTTTGACACGGATCTCTTGACCATTTGTTCTTACCTACCTGTTGGATGGTATTACCTTTGGCTTATCTGTTTGTTCTGTGTTCTCACCTCACTTCTCATATTTCTATTCACTTTGTGACCATGCCAGATATCGGATATCAGGTACTAGCTACCTCATTACTCACTTTCTAGAACACAACATAATGTCGCTCTCCTTCTATTCCTACCCTCACTTCACTATATTTCGCTTCACTTCGCCTTCTCACTCCCTATCCATATTATCCATAGAACTAACATCAATCCTTCACCTTACAATGGGAAAACTCGTCGTTCACATAATAGTAAAATTAGTTTCCACTTTGAGTCATTTCTCACTTTCTTCATAAGTCTGTGCTTGCTTGTTGACCTTTTCAGTTTATGGATTTGGATTGTTTACATTACAGTAGGTATGATTTGGTTTGTTTTGCGAAAATGAGAATTGGAAAATTCAGGTTTGATTAGGAGGTGCTGGACTCGGACAAGACTGAGAGGTTTGAGATGAGGTTGGTTTTGAGGTTAGAGTTGGAGTAGTGAAGTGTGGGATTGAGGGAGGCTTAGGGGTGAGAAGTGGAGTATGTGGGTATGAGAGTGAAGAGAGAATGGAAGAGAGGATTAGATTTGATTTGAACATACCCGAGTGAGGTGCAAATATTGTATGATGGATGCGAGGCGACGAATGGGTTTGTAACATTGCACTTTACAGTGTGTGAAGCTTAAAAGGCCGATTCTTCTTCGAAACTTTCCTGTATGCTATTGTTGGGAGATGTAGAGGTGGAAGAAAGTGCTCTTTGTCGAGGTCGTATAGTATGAATATCAATCTTCAGAAATTATTCAAACACATGTGAAGATACTAAAACCCATTGAAGTGTAAAACACAATGAGCAAGATTAGTAATGTTCATCGCTTATGATGGCCGAATTTCGCTTACAACTTTGGTGCACGGAGGGGTGGGGAGAAGAATTGTGCACTTGGTATGGGATTTGTGGTGAGTGAATAGTTGTATGAGACGATATTGCCGATACGGGTAGATTTTGAGGGAGAGTCTGGAGTGAATCGGAAATATTTGGGAGATTTTGCACATGTAATGTTATTAAATTGTAACTTCCATCGACACGATGAAAAGATTGGGCATGGAGCCCTGCGTTTTATTTATTCTTGCGGTATAATCTTGATTGCTCTAGAGTCAGTAGGATCGCGACTCTCCTGGATGGGAGTAAATTGAGTAAAGTTTGTTGTCCCCTTTCTAATGCCCGACCTTGAGAATTCTGCGTAGCTGATCTGGTGTCTGCAGACAAGGCTAGGGAGAGATAAGGGGAGATTTGGCTATATTGTAGATATGCAGAGGGAATGTACAGTAGGTGGAAAGGGTAGGTGTGTATTTTTTTTCGGGCTGCGAAGTCTCGCGCGTGATTCTCAAATAGAGAATTTGCTTGTATCACCACTTCATAGTAGCTGCAGGAACGCCGATTACCGTCCCTCGTATATCTGACTAAAATATCCAAATGAGCAATGGACCCCTGATACTTCCCAAGTAATCGCCTCGCCCCGCCTTTCTACTCCAATTACCCACACCTACCCCGCAGTTCATCTCCTTCCGAGACCGCACTTATTCCCCGTATCCGGAACACACAATACTAAGGACTCAAGAAGCTATAAGAAGAAAGCCTGTATCTCCAAATTCCCCCAAAGACAACAAGCTCTCTGAGGCCAGGACAGCTTCACATGGCTTCCCTCTTCCTGATATGATCCCACGCCCTTACTTTGCCATCTTGTTATACTTTATAACGAAAACCAACGGACGCTCTATCGACTATCTGCTATTTACTTCGAAGCCATTCTGCAGTGATCGGCATAGCATGGCTTGACGACGGGCTGCTGTCCCTTCAAGGAAATATCCAAGGGGCGCCGAGAGTGGAGTGGGCCTGGCACAAAGATTTGACTCTGCCAACTTTCACAGTGTAGCTCCAACATGGAACAGGGTAGAAGCAGGCTGACAGCTTGCAAGAAGGTACTCTTGCGTGAAGCTACAACTGGACACAAGGTATTGAATTGCAGCCAGAGTAAGTTCTGATAAAGCTTGAATCTCCTTTCGAATCTGATTCAGACATCAACAAGCTGGGCTTTCTCTTCTTTATACCCTTGCTTGTATTCTCATTGTATTGGATCCAGCCACTCATACCAAGCTCACAGTGTTTGTGTCCCGAATTACTTGCCTTTTCGTGGTATACTTTGGGTTCATTAAACTGCACTGTATAATATGGTCAGCCTTTGAGAACTAATGTCATGAGAGTTTCTTGGGAGGCTCACCACAACACTT